CTTCACGGCCTGCGAGACGGACGGAGGGGGAGTGAGCGGACGGGGAATGGACGAGAGGTAACCAGAGAGCAAGGAGAAACGGCGCCTTGATTTTCCTGCTAAGTTTCTTCAAGTCAAGAGGTAACCGGGAGTCCAGATGCACCATGCATGGCATTCTATCACAGTCCCTTCTCCAGCCTTCGTCTGCCATCTCATCCACTCGCTTCTGCTCGGCCTCTCATCCTCTCACTTGTCCTCTTCCTTCTCAGGCCTCGCTTCCTCTTGTTTGCCTTCCTTCCTCCCCTCACCTCCTGGCTCCAGCACTCAAGGGGCAGGGCAGTGATCACCAGTGGCTGCAGCAACGGATCACCAGTGGCTGCAGAATTTGCAGGGTGATGGCGAGCGTACAAGGAGTTGTGAGTCCATCACATCAACCAGTACACCGCTTCTCCATTCACCGTCTTCTTGCGTTCTCGTGTTTACTTCGGTCGTGTCTGCCATTTCCCCACGGTGCCCACCACGTATCTTTGCTGTTGTCTTGCCAGATTTTCATGGCACCCTTGTCAGCTCCGAAACCTCTCCACTCCTGCCGTCTGCTTTTCTCAACTCTCTGCCCATTCATCAGCAGCTTCTATCCAGAGCGCGCGCCGTTGGCAGCAGCAGCAGTGGTGGCATCAGCAGCAGTGGTGAGACATAGCCAAGTGCCGCACCTGGAGGGGTGAGACATAGCCAATTGCCGCACCTGTTGTCCAGAACCAGCCGCATGGGCAGCGGCGCCAGTGGTGGCAGCGGCGCCAGTGGTGGCAGCGGCGCCAGTGGTGGCAGCGGCGCCAGTGGTGGCAGCGGCGCCAGTGGTGGCAGCGGCGCCAGTGGTGGCAGCGGCGCCAGTGGTGGCAGTGGCGCCAGTGGTGGCAGCGTCAGTTGCAACGTCAATGGCAGCTGCAGTGGCGGCTGCAGCAGAAAAGGAGGGGTGAGTGCAGCTTATCTTATCGCAACCAAGTTCCCTCTATGTTCAATGCCGTCTGTGTTGGTTGTTCAATGCCGCCCGTGCTCTTGTCAAGTGTTTTATAGCTTACCCGTTTCCCTTCACCCTTGTCTATGTGGCTTGGCTCCTTCTCTTACCGTATGCAACTATCATGATCCCCTCGCCTCGCTCCCCACTCCATGACCGGGATGATGGCCAGGAACATGGCCAGGCCACCTGGAGCAGCACGCCTGAAGCACACAAGGAGTTGGGTGAGACTCTTAGATCAACCAGTACACTTGGAGCAGCACGCCTCAAGTGAAGGCGTGGTGCAGGAATGGGAGAGCAGCGAAGGGAGCATGGTGCGTCCTAGCAGGTGCTTGCAGGGGGGCGGTGAAGGGAGTCGTAGGGCGTCGCCGCGCAGAGGCAAGAGTCGTGTCTGTTGCTTGCCGGTCCGCCAATCGCCACCTGCTGCTTCTAAGTCTTCTATTCTGCGCTGCTTCTGTGCGTCTCTCTCTCCCCATGTGTGTGTGTTTCTCCCCATGTGTGTGTCTCTCTCTCCCCATGTGTGTGTGTCTCTCTCCCCATGTGTGTGTGTGCCTCTCTCTCCCCGTGTGTGTGTGTGTGCCTCGTGGCCTGCGAGACGGAGAGCAATGGCAGCACGTGGACGCCTGAAGTGAAGGCGTGGTGCAACACTGGGAGATCAACGGACAGATTATGGTATGTGCCAGGGGGTGCTTTCAGGGGGGGCGTGAATTGAGTCGTAGGGTGTCGCCGCGCAGAGGCAAGAGTCGTGTCTGTTGCTTGTCTCTGCCACTCGCCTCTTCTCCTCTTCCTCCTAGCCCTCCCTTCTGTGTGTGTGTTTTGTCTTTCCATGATTGTGAGGAGGGGGAAGTGGAACGGGTGGAAGAAGGGGGCTGGGAGGGGTAGAGGAGGGGATGGGGTGGGAGGGCGGCTCCTGTCCTTGTTTGTGTGTGCGTGTGCGTGCCTGTGAGTGTCTCTTAGGCTCCAAGCCATGGAGTGCGTTGTGCAACGGTGGGATGGGGGCAGCAGTTCTGTTCCTTGTGCAAGACAAGAGTGAAGATGCAGCAGCAGGTGAGCGCATCCTCCTTTGCGTCATCCATTGCGTCATCCTTCTCCAGCTACCATCTGCCATCTCTTCTGTCTTGTCGCTGCTCTTTCCCATCCTCAGTCCCTCATCCACTCGCTTCTCCTCTACTTGCTCACGCCTCTCTTCCTCGTCCTTGCCATGCTTCCTCCCCCCACCTCCAGCACTCAAAAGGGAAGAGGATGCAGCAACTGCAGGATGGTGTGGCACCAGCAGTTGCAGCATAAGGAGTGAGTACAGCTGATTCTGCTGCTTCTGAGTGTCCTCTTGGTGTTGCTTGTTGTCTAAGCTTCCAAGTCATACCAATCGCTCTGTATCCTGCTGTTATGGCGCTCTCACCTCTCTCCTCCTTCATATCCCTTGGCTCTGGCAACAGCTGTGCAGGAAGCAGTGGGAGCAGAAGAAGTGCATGGTAAGTGTGGGTTCTGCTCGCCTCTCACTTCCTGCTTGCTCCACAATGGCGTTCCAAATCTTCTTTGCACCATTCAGACAGAAAATGCGCCCTATGTTTTACAGATGCTTTGAGCTTCCCTATTTTAACCCCTCCCCTGTCTTCCGTTCCCCATTGGTTTCCCGTTTACAGCTCAGAAGAATTCAATGTGGCTCTGATTTGGTGATGTGAAGGCAAGGAGAAGACTCTGCCTGCTGCTGTGCTCAGCAGAGGCAGTCTGCTGGGTGTGTCTAAGTGTGTTTAGCAGTGCTTCGGTGTGCTGTGCTTAGGTGTGTTGTGGTTAAATGTGTTGCGCCGTTGCTGTGCTGGGTGGGCCTGCATGTTGTAGAGCAGGTGGGTGGGTGGGGTGGGCAGCCTTGAAGGCGCCTGGGCACAACCAGCCGAGCAGGAGAGTATGTGAGAGTGGGTGGAGCTGCCATGAGGCGCACGTGCACCGTGATGGGGAGAAAGCGCGGGTGCAGGGCACCCACCCACCTGCGCCGCATGCACCTACACAGCAAGCCTCCACAAACCAGATCTGGGTCAAACACAACATTTTCACAAAGCAGGTATGGCAGGGACTGACAAGAAAAAACTGATTGGTCACATCTCGTGCAGTACAGGGATGGTCAGGGGGACATACACACACTTATACTCGCAATGCTGCTGCTGCAACAAGAGCAGTGACTGCCGACAGCCATGCTACCAGGTACAGCAAGAGCATGGAAGCTACCCAACCTGACAGTTGCTGTATCGCTACATTCTCCTCCACTTTCGACTGAACTAGAAGGCTCATCCGTGTCATCATCCGTGTCTGCACCCACAGTTATCATGCCACAGCCACCAACCAACCAGCCGGGCAGCCTACCAGCCTACCAAACAGTACTAGGCAAACATTTGACCAGCTCTAGCAGCAGCCATCGGCCTAGTGGAGGTGATGCACAAAATTCTAGTGCCCGATCAACACGGTGTGGACGTGGTTGTCAGTCCAGCAGGGGTGGCATGTCCCACACATCCAGCACCAGCCCTGGTGCAGGCAGCGGATCTCCACAGTTGTTCAGCCCCCCTCTCGCCAGCCCCTTATGCACCGCCACTGCCACCACCTCCCCCTGCTCCTCCCCCCCCTGCTCCTCCGCTTCCTCCTCCTCCCCTCCCGTCCTCTCCCCCGTGCGGCGGGTGCAGGTCCGGGTGTGGGAGTGGGGGAGTAACAGCAGGGCAGCAGCGGGAGCCCCCGTGCCCTGGTCGTACGTCCCGTGCAGGAGAGCGCTATCACACGCCGACGCCACCATGGCGTTCCATGGCGGTGCGGTGGTGGATAGCGAGGAGGCGGCGTTGTGAGAGGAGGACCAGGTGGAGGAGGAAGAGGGGGAAGAAGAGGGGGAGGAGGAGGCGTGTGCGGCGGAGAGGCGGGAGCGGAGCGTGGAGAGGCGGCCATAGGTGTAAGCGAGTATGCCCGGCTGAGATGCACCGAATATGGTGCGCGGCAGGTCACACACCTGTGGGGGTTGGGGGTCGGGATGGGGAAGTCAATGCAGGTGGAGAGGGGGATGGGGGTGGCATGGATGGGAGTGAACCTGCCATGTACCTGAGAGACGGGTGAGAAGCAGGGGAGCTGTCCTTCTCATGTACCTGAGGGGAGCCAAGAGGCGTGTCGTGACGGGCAAAGGAGTTCCAGCAGAAGGCATCTGCGTGCAACAGCAGCACCTGCGCTCTCTCCTTCTCCCCTTCCCTCTCATCCCCCTCCCATCATGCTCCATGCCATAATGCTCCAATCCCCCTCACCACCGCCATTACCCCACAAAAAACACGCACCTGAGGGGAGCCGAGTGGCGTGTCGTGGCGCGCGAAGGAGTTCCAGCAGAAGGCGTCTGTGTGCAGCAGCAGCACGCGCGCTTCCCCTGCCTCCCCCTCCCTCTCCTCCCCATCCCTCTCCTCGCCTGCAACCCGCTTCCCAACAGCCAATGCCATGCTGACAGCTGGCATGGACCCCCGAGCGAAAGGCACGGGGTCGGCGAGAGGCGGTGGGTTGACATGCACGTGAACGGGGGAGAGCGAGAGTGGCTCGGAGAGGTCACCCTCTGCCACTGCCTCTGCTTCGTGTGCTGCCGTTGTTGTCACTGGCACTTCCACTGGCACTGCCTCTGCCTTGTCATCCTCCGTGCTCCGTGCGGCCAACTGCTGCTGCGCGGCATGCAGTAGGGAGTGCGCGGGGAGGGAGAGGTTCACATGGTGCACGAACACCAGAGGACTTGCTTCCACTGCATCGGCGGTGTGCGTCGCCCCGCTTCCTGCGCGTGTGGCGGTGCTCTGAGCGCCCGCAAGTGAGAACGCCACCACTGCATCGATTCGCACATCCATACCGCTGCTGCTGCTGCTGGTGCTGCTGCTGCTGCTGCTGCTGCTGCTGCTGCTGGTGCTGGTGCTGGTGCTGCTGCCAGGGCTACCAAATTTGACATTGTTCCTGCTATCACTGCCGTTGCCACTGATTGTCGCATTGCTGGAGGTGCTGTGAACGTCTGCTATGGCGAGAGGAACGGACGGGGACGGCGAAAGCTGTGAGATGCAGAAGGGACGGCCAACAGACACACATGCAATGCCACCAGTATGATCATTATCTGCTGGGGAGTCGGACGCGTGATGAGCAGGGAGGGGAGGCAGAGAGCAGACGAGCACCCGACCCATGAGCCCGCATGATTGCCCCTTGCTGCTCCCCATCTCCCCTCCACCCTTGCTGTGCCTGCTTGCTTCTTCGTCTGCCCTCTGCCCATCTCCACCACTTGCTGCCGTGGAGTCATCAAGAAGGTGGTTACCACTTGGAGTGTACGCCTCTACACCCACCACCACCACTTTAGACCCATCCACTCCCCTCCCCTCATCCTCCCCTCTCCTTGGGTTATTCCCTTGCTGCTCCTCCTGTTCACTGCTCATCTCCTCATCCTCGTTAGAAGCAGGTCTCTCCAACACTACAGTGCTCCAGGCGACTGAAGAAAGCTGCCTGGTGCTGCCAGCCTGCTGTGGCATGCGCCCTGGAAGGTCCATCCTCGATATAAGAGTGAGAGATAGTGAGTCATAAGCGAGCCACAGCAGGATATGACCACCACACGCGTCACTGGCTACCAGCGCAACTCCGTCCACACCCACCCTCCTCCTCTCCCTCCTCCTTCCGGATCCCCTCCCATCTCCTACTCCCCCTCCTCCCCCTCCTTCCCCACCATCACTTCCTCCCTCAAACGTGTCTTCTCTGACACCCACTGCCACGCCATGAGGCACGTCTAGCACACTTACAGATGCCACCCGCCCAGATCCCACCTGCTCAGTCTGAGTTTCTCCTTTCATCCCGCCATCAGCTCTGCCTCCCTTCCGATTTTCCACCTCACAAGCAGACAGAAGCTCCCCGCCCGGCAACGGGTTGCTGCTGATTACTGTTTCAGGTGGGTGGGCGGCAGGGAGGGATGGCGCAATTTGAACAGTGTAGACAGGGGAAGAGGGTGGGTCCAGTGGGCTGTCTGGCAGCCAATGGATGGTTAGGATGGCAAAGGAGGGAGTGGAGGAGGGGTTGGAGGAGGAGGAGGAGGAAGAGGATGTGGAATGCTGAGTGACAACATATCTGGTGGAGTTGGCGGGCAGTGGAATGACGGCCACGGCAGGGCGAGAGAAAGGGGGGGGAGGCGAGGAGACGTCATCAGCGTAGGGCGTGTGGGTGGCGAGGTGCGAGGAGGGGGCGGTGTAAAGGCGGAACATGATTGGGTCGATGTTGCTGGCGAAGCGAAATCCGGGCGTGTGGGTGATGTTGGCTGAGAGGTAGACATCTGAGAACATGGCGAATGCCCTCTCGTCCTGATGGGGAGGCATGATGGCATGGTGGCATGGTGGCACGGGGAATGGATGGCAAGGGAGTTGGAGAGTGCGAGCACATAGTGACGGCCCAGTCCTAGTGTGACGCAGCAGCAAGGGCGCCACAGGACTACTTGGAATTGCAGGAATGAGCTTCTGGATCTCACCTGTAACTCATGTAGAACTCACCTGAGATTCACCTGAGATTCACCTGAGGCTCACCTGAGGCTCGTAGAGTACAAGAGCATAGGGCGAGTCTTTAAACTTCATGAACTGCTGCTCCGCTGCTGCCGCCCACCAGGTGAACGTGGCGTCATGGTTGAGCACCTGACACACGCCCACCAGAGCAGGTGCATGTGCGAACCTATGGGTGGCTTATGGTTGAGCAGGTGCATGTGGGAACCTATGGGTGGCTTATGGTTGAGCAGGTGCATGTGGGAACCTATGGGTGGCTTATGGTTGAGCAGGTGCATGTGGGAACCTATGGGTGGCTTATGGTTGAGCAGGTGCATGTGGGAACCTATGGGTGGCTTATGGTTGAGCAGGTGCATGTGGGAACCTATGGGTGGCTTATGGTTGAGCAGGTGCATGTGGGAACCTATGGGTGGCTTATGGTTGAGCAGGTGCATGTGGGAACCTATGGGTGGCTTATGGTTGAGCAGGTGCATGTGGGAACCTATGGGTGGCTTATGGTTGAGCAGGTGCACCAGGTGAATGGTTGACACATGCCTGCCCACCAGGTGAATGGTTGACACATGCCTGCCCACCAGGTGAATGGTTGACACATGCCTGCCCACCAGGTGAGTGTGGAAACCCATGGGCGACTTGAGATGTGAATAAAAGCTCCACACTCATGTTGCTCCACAACAATACCACCACATGCTACATGCCACAGCACGCATGCATGCACATGACATGACACGTGATGATTGCCACATGCCACACGCACATCAGCATGCCACACATGCCACAGCCGCATGCTGCATGCCTGAAAGCGGTCGGAGGCATCGTGAGGGTCGTTGGTGGTGGCGGGGTGGCTGGAGCGAGACATGCCATGAGCCACATCCCACATGCCACATCCCACATGCCACATCCCACATGCCATGTCCCACATGCCACATCCCACATGCCACATCCCACATGGCCCATCACTCATCACATGCTGCATGCCTGGAAGCGGTCGGAGGCATCGTGAGGGTCGTTGGTGGTGGCGGGGCGGCTGGTGAGGTCGTTGTCATCCCATGCTATCACCCACGGCCGCCACCGCTGCGCCACACACTTTCCGCCCATCTGCACGCATTCACGAGGGCGTCGGGGGGGAACCAGGGGAAGGGAGCAAGTGGGCAGTCAAGCGGAGGTCTCGCGTCTTTGCAGCAGAAGTCCACATTCAGGCGCAGCTCGTGCAGGGCGTTTCGAGGTGCAGTACAGGGCACCTCAAGACAGCAATGCAGAGCAGGTGTGTGTTGAGACACTGTGAGGGTCTCACGTCACATCGTTGAGGAAGAACTCGGCGTTGAGGTGGAGCTGTTGCAAAGCGGTAGAGGCGCGCAGGGGATGAGACGCTATTAATGCAGCTCAAATGACAATCCACAGCAGGTGTGTGTGAGGGCCTCACATCGTTGAGGAAGAACTTGGCGTTGAGGCGGAGGTCGTGCAGGGCGGCATTGGCGCGCAGGAGATAAGACGCGTACTGATGCACCTCTAGACAACCATCCAGAGCAGGTGTGACCGTGTGTGTGTGAGGGCCTCACTCACATCGTTGAGGAAGAACTCGGCGTTAAGGTGCAGGTCGTGCAGGGCAGCATTGGCGCACAGGAAGAAGTCGTCAAACACCACCATCCACTGCCGCACTGCCTCGTCCCCCCACCTTATGCCGTCTCCCCCCTGCCTTGCCCCGCTCGCCACAGATGTACCTGCACCAGATGCATCTGTCCCAGATGCACCAGATGCGCCTGCATTGGCGGTTCTGCTTTTACTGGATAAGTCTGTACCACGTGCCAACATTCTCAGCACTCTTGCGTTGCTGCCACGTGGCACCACATGGCGCATTCTGATGGCCTTCTCTGCATTGACGTCGCCACGTGGCACGTCATGACTGGCGCCATGGGCTGACGTGGCAGCATGGGTGCGGTTGGTGGTGCAGAGGAGTGGACGGTTCTTGGGGCACAGCTGGGTTGGATGGTTGGAGGGTGAGTGGGGAGGGAGGGGGAGGGTGAGCTGGAGGTTTTGGAGGAGAGGGAAGGCGGTGCAAAACAGGGCATGTGAATGAGAGAGGATAATGAAACAGAGGATAACTCGCCCCACTCCCCACTCCGCACTCCAGCCTGCCTGGATGTAGAGCCGCGGGTGCGGATACGTCAGAAGCACGCGATTGGCCGGGTCACGGAGGAACGCGATGACGTCATCGCTGGTGTTGAGCTGGCGGCTGAGCCACGTCAGCGAGTGCACCAATCCGAAGCAGCCATGTGGGTTGTACTGCCAATGCGGCCCCACCTGTGATGCAAGAAGAAGGCAAAAGAGGGTTGAGAGAACGGATGGAGGGATGGAGAAGGAGTGCGGTAGGGGGAGGAGAGGGAGAGCAGGGATGATGAGAGTGGGGAAAGTGGGAGGAGCAGGAATGGAAGCAGAAAGGGACGTAACGGAGAAGGCGGGGACCAGAACGGCTTTCCTCACCCCTCCCCTCTTGCCCCTTGCCTCTTGCCCCTTGCCCCTTACCCCTGGAGGGGCGTTCACCTGCAGCGTGCAGCGGGCGGGCGGCATCCAGGAGAAGTCGATTTTGACGTACTCCACACCCTTCACCAGCGCCGCGCGCCACTCGCGCACGTCGTTCCACCCGTGCGCCAACAGCCCTATCGTCGCGCGCCGCGCCTCCTCCTCCTCATCCTCATCCACATCCTGCTGCTCTTCCGTTTCCACATTCCCCTCCCGCCGCTCCTCCCCCCGCCCCTCGCCGCCTCTGCTCCCGCGCACGAGCATCAGTAGCGCCAAGAGCAGCAGCAATACCAGCAGCCGCCGCGCGTGTGCGGGCGAGCGGGGGGATATTCGCTGAAAGGCAAGGGAGGCCAGCAGAGCTGTCGCCATCGGTTCGAAAACTCCTGGGCTAGCGGCGATATCAGGGCAGCGCCCTCATGCCCACGACAGACTCTGTAACAATTTCCGTCTCACACTCATGCAAAGGGCGTTGGGTGATCAAGATTTGCTTGCACTAGCCGTTTCTGCATTTTCAGTGCATGCGCGTCTCGTGCTCCTGCGTGCTACCTTGGATGATACGCGGAGCAGGGAATATGCTGAATTTGTACGCGTATGAGAGGCTTCGTTTCGTGAATTGTAATGGTAACATCCTCCGAAGCTGTTTTGATCTGGTTTATATGAAATTTCGGCAGTTTCGATCAGTTGCGTCGATTGGAAGAACCATTGCTGGTCCCAGATTGGTTCTCGGCACAGACAGCGGCAGGCGAAAAAACATTTCACCCAATCCCGTAACAGCGTCGCCCGCAGATCTCTCCTCACATTCATGCTGGTGCGTGTCACGCGCATTCGCTGCGCCCTTGGGATCTCCGCGCGCCAGGAATATCTCACCCCGCCTCCGCCATCCCTCCGCTCCCCCTCCGCACTCTAGATCCAATTCCCCACTCCCCTCTCCCACCTCCACCCTTCTCCACCCCTTTCTGTTTGCGGCTTGCTTTGGAGCCAGTAGCAGCAGCACCTAGAGATTGGTTTTAGACAGACATAGCCTGGTCTGCCTGCCTCTCTGCCTGACAAGCTGCAGCAGTAGCGGGACGTGCGTGCTGCCTCGCTTCTGTGCGTCCGCTTGCCTGCAGCTCGCCACGTGGCCGGATCTGCCGTGCCTCGTTGTTCCTTTCTCCGATTCTTCAGATTCCGGTCGATAGCCTCGGCGCTTTCTCGTGTCAAATCGTCAGCCTGGTCTCTAGGAGCTCGAAGCGATTCACCGTGCAGCTATCCAGACAGCTTATATCGAATCGTACCCTAGCAGCCATGGCGTCGCGTCGTCATCTTCAGCACGCGGTCCCCGTGCCGGCCCTCCGCCGCCTGCTCGCCGCGTCCACCGCGCCGGTGGTTCCGCAGGCTGCACCCGCAGCGGCAGCGGCGGCGCTGCATGTTCAGTCGGCCGGCGGACACGCGCATGCGGTGAATGCGCAAGCTAAGGAGATCCGATCCGCATCGTACACTTCCAGCAGCATCAGGTGCGGGATAGAATTTATGACTTCCCATTCTCGTCTCACTCGCTTAGCAGCACTCTTCCCATCTTTCCTGGTAAGTCACAACCCCAATCCGGCATAGGGAATCACCGATCCGCAGAAGCAAGAGTCGTGAATGCCGTTGGTTCCCGTCTCTGTAGGCCAACTGCCGAGCCGAGCCTTGCTTCGCCTTCCTGCGTCAAGCGGATCGAAGAGCAAGGTTCGCCTACCGGACGCTCATACGCGTGTCTGAGGCCTTCCGCATTCGCACTTGCTGTGCTTTGATTGGGAACGGAACCCAGGTGCTCGTGTGCTGTTCCACACGTTAGGGTTACACACACATTGGTGCAGCGCGCCAGAGCCCTGCGTTGTAAACTCGTTTGCGGTACATTCGCGGTGTGATGCAACGCAATCGCGGTCACCTATGTCGTGTTGACTTGTCCTGTGCCGTCTCGTCCCCATTTCTCCTCCCGCAGCTCCCCGCTCATTCCCGCTTCCGCCCGTCCCGCTTCTTCCGCCTCCGCCGCCAAGCCTTCCGCTCTGCTCGATCCCCGCGCGCCATCTGCGCACCATGCATCCGCGTGCCTGTCGGGAGTGGCCTTCCGCTGGAAGTCTGCGCGCAAATACTCCGCCGCCGCCGCCGCCGCCTCCGCCTGTACGTGTCTGGACGTCATCTGCATATCAATCGCGACAAAGAAGTGTCAGCAGATTCGTCTTGTTGAATGCGATTATATTGCAGCGATGGCGTGGACTCAAAGATCAACGCTTCTCTCATGCCACCCCACTTGTCACGTCTCCCCTCCCACCCTCCATGCTGCCCCCCTTGTAACGTCTCCCCTCCCCCCTCCATGCTGCCCCCCTTGTAACGTCTCCCCTCCCCCCTCCATGCTGCCCCCCTTGTCACGTCTCCCCTCCCCCCTCCATGCTGCCCCCCTTGTAACGTCTCCCCTCCCCCCTCCATGCCGCCGTGCAGTTCCGCCCCACCAGCCTGTCGCCATGCCCTCGCTCTCCCCCACCATGACGCAGGTTCGTACCGGGGCAGGTCGGTACTGGGGTGGGTGGGGCAGGTGACACTGGCCAGGTGAGTTCTGGGCCAGGTGAGTGCTGAGGCAAGTTGATGCGGGACTGGTGGCGGGTTGGTGGTGGGGCGGGTTAGTTGGTACAGATGACGCGTCAAGTGGCTGATGAGCATTGCAGCACACAGCATTGCACGGGTGTTGGGGGTAGGGCGTTCCTGTCCTGTCCACCTGCCAACACCTCACGCGCACTCCCCTCCCTTCTCCCACTTTACGCCCTTCCCCGCAGGGCAACATCGCCAAGTGGTGCAAGGCGGAGGGCGAGCAGGTGAACGCGGGCGACGTGCTGTGCGAGATCGAGACGGTGAGTCGTGGGGGGGAGGGGGGGATGATCCGCGTGTGCAGCACATGCGTAATGATGCCGTGTGTTGTTGCTTATAGGGACGTGTGTGCTGCACTTGTGGGACAGACAGCATGTGTGCACTTGCATTTGACATGCATGTGAACTCACAAGAACAACCCTTTTGTTGCTACGTCATGTCATGGCGTGGCATGGCATAGCGTGGCGTGGCGTGGTTTTGACTGTATGGCATGACATGACATGGCATGATGTTGTATGGTGGTACTTCATGATATGGCATGCGTATAATTGTGCCATGCATCATGATTCATGCATCATGGGTCATGTGGCATGTGGGGGTTGTGGCACGTGTCATGCATGCATGCGCCACACACCATGCACCACACGCCATGCATCATGCACCATGCATCATGCATCATGCATTGCGCGCGCAACCACATGGGCAGGACAAGGCGACGCTATCAATGGAGAGCATGGAGGACGGGTATCTCGCCAAGATCCTCATGCCCGAGGGCTCCAAGGACATTCCCGTTGGCACTGTGAGTGGAGTCTCACGCACTCAATGCCAGTCAACGCAGGTCGAATTGGGTCAGCCAGGAGGACTGACAGTTTGGAGCATGTCAGTTGGTTGGGTAGCTATGCATTGCAGGCATGGGTCTCGGTCAACCGCGCCCTCTGCTGATGACTTTGCAGGGGATAACTGCAAGGTGACCGACAAACTTCCTCCGTCCTGCGTTTCTCAATTCCATTCCCCTCCCCTCCCATCATTCCCGTCCCCTCTACGCCCGCAGCTGATAGCAGTGATGGTGGAGGACAATGCTGACCTTCCCAAGTTCGCCACATTCACGGCTGCTGACGCCGGTGCCTCCGCGCCCCCTGCCGCCCCCGCCCCAACTTTCCTTGCTTATTATCTGCCTAGCCCATCATGGCCCACGCAGCTGATAGCAGTGATGGTGGAGGACAACGCTGACCTTCCCAAGTTCGCCACATTCACGGCTGCTGGCGCCGGTGCCTCCGCGCCCCCTGCCGCCCCCGCCCCAACTTTCCTTGCTTATTATCTGCCTCCCCCATCATGGCCCACGCAGCTGATAGCAGTGATGGTGGAGGACAACGCTGACCTTCCCAAGTTCGCGTCCTTCACGGCTGCTGACGCCGGTGCCTCCGCGCCCCCTGCCGCCCCCGCTGCCCCTGCCGCTCCCTCCGACGCTGGCTCGTCTGCTCCCCCCTCAGGTGCGCTGGGAAGGAGGAGTGGGGGTGAAAGAGGTGGTGAAGGGAGGGTGGTGGTGTGGGAGAGGCGGGGATGGGGTGTGGGAGGGGCAGGGGTGGGGTGGGTAGGAGAGAGAAGCAGGTGCAAGGTGAGGAAATGGAGGGCGGAAGATTAAAGATGGGTTAACGGGGAGGAGTGGACGATGTTTGTGGGAGAGGATGAAAGGCAGGCTGGTCAAGGGATGAAGAACTCATGCAGGATTGTGGGTGTGGCACAACGCTTGCTGCTCCTGCTCTTTGTTGCCCTTGTTTCCTGCGTCAACACCGATTTCTTGTTCTCACACCATCTCTTTCTTCATCACATCTGTCCTATCCGTCCTTGCTTGCGCTGCAGATCTGCCGCCCTTCCATTCGCTCGCCATGCCATCGCTCTCCCCCACCATGACCCAGGTACTTACTTTCATAAGCACGCGTATTGTCACCCGGGTACTGTTCATGTGCATGTCTCTCTCATCGCATCCACTCCCCTCCCATCCATGACATGGTGACGTGACACCATCCCATGACCATTCCATCTTCCCCCCCCACCCAACAGGGCAACATAGTGCGGTGGCGCAAGTCAGTGGGAGACGCACTGGCAGCGGGCGAGGTGCTGTGCGAGATAGAGACGGACAAGGCGACGCTGGAGATGGAGGCCATGGAGGATGGCTTCCTCGCCTCCATCCTCGTGCATGCCGGCGCCAAGGACGTTGCTGTCGGCACGGTGAGTGGGGATTCAGTGAGTGATGATAGGCGCATTGATCGGTGCATGTATGGCGCATGGCACGGCGAGGGGCGTTGCATGGTGCATGGGGCATGGGGCATGGGGCATGGGGCATGCCAGCAGATACCGTGTGGTGGGACGGTGAGACAGGCGAGCATCGCAGCGCAATGGAGTCCCAAGCGCTCGTTTCCACTTACCCCACGCACGGCCGTCAGGCTGTTCATGAAGTACCCCACGCTCTTCCATTTCACCTGACAGCGTAACAGTCTCAGTCGATTCACTTGCCATGCACTCTCGTCCCTTCTCTTCTCATCCCTCCTCTCTCTTTCCCCCCTTCTCCCCCCTCCCCTGCTCCCATCAGCCCATCGCCATCGTAGTGGATGACTCGGAGAGCGCTCGCCAACTACACGCCACCCTCCCCTCCCACCCAACCCAACGCTTTCCCTCTCCCCTTTCCCTTTGCTGCCCCCATCCCATCAGCCCATCGCCATCATAGTGGACGATTCAGAGAGCGTTCCTAAGTTTGCCAACTACGCGCCGCCCTCCACGCCCGCCCACCACCTTCCCTCTCCCGTCTCCCTCTTCCCTTTCCCTCTCCCTTTCCCCTCTGCTCCGCCCCCACCCCATCAGCCCATCGCCATCATAGTGGACGATTCAGAAAGCGTTCCTAAGTTCGCCAACTACACGCTGCCCTCCACGCCCGCCCAACCCGCCTCCGCCCCCGCTGCTGCCCCTGCTGCTGCTGCTGCTGCTGCTCCGGCTTCGCCTCCCCCCCGCCTGCTGCACCAGCGGCGCCAGCAGCGGCTGCTGCGCCTCCTCCCCCTCCCCCTGCGCGGGCAGAGGGCGCGCGGGTGTTTGCCAGCCCTGCTGCGCGCAAACTGGCTGCTGAACACAAGGTGGGGTGGGAGGGGGTGTAGAGGGCGGTTTGGGATGAAGGGAGGGGGTGTAAAGGGTTGGGGCGCAATGGGAAAGGGCGGAGGGGAAGGCACTTGTGTGTATGCCAGCCCTGCTGCCCGAAAACCGGCGGCTGAACACAAGGTGGGGATGGGACTGTGTGAGGGCATGGGAAGAGAGATGGCGTGTGAGAGTGTGACAGCGGAGGAAGGGGGCGGGAAGAGAGAGAGTGAGAGGGGTCTCTGCGTCGAGATCCGGACATGGCTCAGTGAGCTGCGTGCGTGCAGTAGGCTTAAGCAAAGGAAAAAACAGCAGTAAAAATCGACTCATCACAGCAGTAAAAATCGACTCATCACAGCAGTAAAAATCGACTCATCACAGCAGTAAAAATCGACTCATCACAGCAGTAAAAATCGACTCATCACAGCAGTAAAAATCGACTCATCACAGCAGTAAAAATCGACTCATCACAGCAGTAAAAATCGACTCATCACAGCAGTAAAAATCGACTCATCACAGCAGTAAAAATCGACTCATCACAGCAGTAAAAATCGACTCATCACAGCAGTAAAAATCGACTCATCACAGCAGTAAAAATCGACTCATCACAGCAGTAAAAATTGACTCATCACAGCAGTAAAAATCGGCTCATCACAGCAGTAAAAATCGACTCATCACAGCAGTAAAAATCGACTCATCACAGCAGTAAAAATCGACTCATCACAGCAGTAAAAATCGACTCATCACAGCAGTAAAAATCGGAGGAGTGTGACATCATCAGAGAGATGGCGTGTGAGAGTGTGACAGCGGAGGAAGGGGGCGGGAAGAGAGAGAGTGAGAGGGGTCTCTGCGTCGTCTGAGAGAGGGCATGTTGATGGATGTGGATGGGCTGCTGCATGCAGCGCATGTGAGAGAGGTGTGGCACAAGATGCATAGGGATGGGGCAATGGTGCGTGTGTTTGCTGCTCCTGGTGCCTGTCTATACCTGCCTGCCGGCCTGTCAGTTATCTACAGAGCCATAGTTAGCTTCCCAGATGATACTCACTCCAACAGTTAGCCATAGTTAGTTATGTGCATGCGTGATTCTCCAACAGTCTCCAATACTCTCCTTCCCTCCATCCCTTCTATGATCCATCCGTCACACCAGGTGGACATGGCCCTGGTGACAGGGTCGGGTCCCAACGGCCGTGTGTTGAAGGAGGACGTGGAGGCCTTCCTCTCGCAGCCCCGCCCTGCCGCTGCTGCTGCTGCCCCCTCTGCTGCACCTGCTGCTGCCGGTGCCCCCGCTGCTGCTGCTCCTCCCGCAGCGGCCATGTCAGCCAGTGTGGACGAGCTCAGGAAGGTGAGGCGTGCACCTGTCGTAGCATTGGTGCTGCCAATACTGCTAGTGCTGCTAGTGCTGCTAGTGCTTCTGCCACTGCTGCGGCTCCTCCCGCAGCGGCCATGTCAGCCAGTGTGGACGAGCTCAGGAAGGTGAGGCGAAGGTGTAGGTGCTTTCCCTGCAGCCTCCAACCCTGCTGCTGGCTCCCAAGTCTGCTCCTCCACTCGCTGCCATTTTTTTTTCCATGCCTGCTGCTTATTACCCTTCCCTCGCATCTCGCCCGTTCCCCCCTGTTCCCCTTCTACTCCGCTCGTGTGTCACAGCGAGTGGCGGAGCAGATGCAGCTGTCCATTCAGACGGTGCCGCACTTCTACCTTTCTGCTGACGCTCCCCTCGATGCTGCTGCCAAGTGCGTCTCGAGCACTCACATGCATGCACACGCACACACACACTCACACACATAAAAATTGTGCTAACATCTACACACTCTTGTGCGCATGCACACAACTATACACACCTGCACACACACACACATCGGCTTGCCTACATGTCTAGTTTGACCTTTCTCTTTCTGCCACGACACATATCATATCTGCATCTGTACATCTCTGCATCTCTGTACATCTCTCTGCATCGCTGTGCACCTCTCAGGGTGTTGGAGCAGCTGAATGCAGCATCTGATGTGCAGGTCACCTCCACCGCTCTACTCATCAAGGTATGCGGCACTCTCGCTCATGTCCCATGTATGTCTGGTACATCTCTATGCAGGATGTCCCGTGCATGTCTTGTGCATGCGCTGCTCTTTGCACGTCACACCATGCCCCCGTCCAGCTACACAAGCTTTGTCTCTTCAACCCGTTCTCCTGCCTTGCACAACAACAGGCAGCAGCATTGGCATCCAAGAAGGTTCCTGCATGCAACAGCTCCTGGGGTGGCGACTTCATTCGAGAGTGAGTCACTCGCTGCTTACCTGCAGGAAGATGCCTCACCTGCAGGAAGATGCCTCACCTGCAGGAAGATGCCTCACCTGCAGGAAGATGCCTCACCTGCAGGAAGATGCCTCACCTGCAGGAAGATGCCTCACCTGCAGGAAGATGCCTCACCTGCAGGAAGATGCCAGGAAGATGCCTCACCTGCAGGAAGATGCCTCACCTGCAGGAAGATGCCTCACCTGCAGGAAGATGCCTCACCTGCAGGAAGATGCCTCACCTGCAGGAAGATGCCTCACCTGCAGGAAGATGCCTCACCTGCAGGAAGATGCCTCACCTGCAGGAAGATGCCTCACCTGCAGGAAGATGCCTCACCTGCAGGAAGATGCCTCACCTGCAGGAAGATGCCAGGAAGATGCCTCACCTGCAGGAAGATGCCTCACCTGCAGGAAGATGCCTCACCTGCAGGAAGATGCCTCACCTGCAGGAAGATGCCTCACCTGCAGGAAGATGCCTCACCTGCAGGAAGATGCCTCACCTGCAGGAAGATGCCTCACCTGCAGCAAGATGCCTCACCTGCAGCAAGATGCCTCACCTGCAGCAAGATGCCTCACCTGCAGGAAGATGCCTCACCTGCTGGAAGATGCCTCACCTGCAGGAAGATGCCTCACCTGCAGGAAGATGCCTCACCTGCAGCAAGATGCCTCACCTGCAGCAAGATGCCTCACCTGCAGGAAGATGCCTCACCTGCAGCAAGATGCCTCACCTGCAGCAAGATGCCTCACCTGCAGGAAGATGCCTCACCTGCAGGAAGATGCCTCACCTGCAGGGAGATGCCTCACCTGCAGGAAGATGCCTCACCTGCAGCAAAATGCCTCACCTGCAGACCCCTGCCTGCCTGCCTCTCTGCCTCTCTGCATGCAGCTGTTCGTGTATCCCTGCCCACCATCCACCACAATGGAATATGGCATGTGTGGCTCGTGCATGGCTGCTGGTATGAATGTCTGTCCCATGCATCACTAATCATGTGTGTGTCCCATGTGCATGTGCGTCCCCCATGGCTGTGTGTGCATGGCATGGCATGGCATGGCATGGCATGGCAGGTACTCCGATGTGAATGTGGCGATCGCTGTCTCCACACCTGACGGCACTTTGTACCCAGTCATCAAGGTAACGCACAGGCATCAATGTAACGCCACGTAGTGGTAATGCCACGTAATGGTAATGCCAAGTAGTGGTAACGCCGCATTATGGTAACGCCGCGTAATGGTAATGCCGCGTAATGGTAATGCCGCGTAATGGTAATGCCGCGTAATGGTAAAGCCGCATAATTGTAACGCCACGTAATGGTAACGCCACGTAATGGTAAAGCCACGTAATGGTATCGCCACATAATGGTAATGCCACTTAATGGTAATGCCACGTAATGGTAGCGTCGCGTAATGGTAACGCCGCGTAATGGTAATGCCATGCTTTACCAGCCCTTTTCAGCTGCTCATGTCTTGTCTTCTCACCCATCCTGCACCCTGCGCTCATTCCCCCTGTCTGCTCCCTGCCCCATGCCCTCTGCCCCCTGCCCCCTGCCCCCTGCCCCCTGCCCCCTGCCCCCTGCCCCCTGCCCCCTGCCCCCTGCCCCCTGCCCCCTGCCCCCTGCCCCCTGCCCCCTGCCCCCTGCACCACACGTGCTGCTGCGTCCCTGCAGGCGGCCAACACCAAGGGCCTGGCCCAGATCGCTTCAGAGATCCACCGCCTCTCCACTGCAGCCTTGGAGAAAACTCTCTCCGAATCTGACCTCCAGGTTCGTAACTCCTTCGGTTTGCAGATCAAGGGGGTAATCACTTATTTGATCATTGTGGTGGGTTTTGAGGGGAATACCAGTCAAGGTAATATCAATGCATGGCATGGTGGGGAGAGTGGAACACAGTGGGTGGGACGAGCTACACAATCCACAAGCAGTCACATGTTGGCTAGGAATAAAGCATAATTTCAAAGACGGGTTTCAGAAGTCATGCCTTTCTTTCCACCCGTCTCCCCACGCTTGCAGGGTGCGACCTTCACAGTGTCAGATGTGAGTGGAGCGGGGCTCAAGTCTCTGTCCGCCATCATCCACCCTCCGCAGTCGTGCTTCCTCACCATCGGCGCTGGTGAGCGTGCCTCCGCTTCTCATCCTCCCCCCGTGCTTGCTCTCACCTCATTGATAGCAACTGTTGAGATCACCCACCACATGGTCACACACTGTCCGCGCTCACTCCCCAACATCCCTCACATCCTGCCTCTGGTGTGCCTGCCGTCCCTTCACAGCGCAAGAAAGGGTGGTGCCGGGCGCAGCAGAGGGCGAGTTTGCAGTGCAGCCCTTCGCCACAGTCACTCTCAGCTGCGACCACCGCGTTGTCGACGGTACGTCATGCCTGGGCCTCTGATGGCATGTGCTAATTGGGCTTCTGATGGCATGTGATGGTATGCGTTGGTTGGGCTTCTGGTGGCATCCAATGTACGGACCCCATACCATAAGTCAATCCTCTGTGACTGACTTGCAATGAGAGTGATGCTTCTTCGAATGTCATAAAAGCAAGGCATTTCAACTATGAGTGGGTTTTTGTCTGGCAACTGACTGCACGCCATGACTTTTCTGCTGCTTCTCTGCTGCTCCTCCCTCTCTTCCATTTTGGTGTTGCAGGAGCGGTGGGAGCGCAATGGATGGGCGAGTTCAAGTCGTTGCTCTCCAACCCCATCACCTTGCTCCTCTAGTTACCAACCATTGGTTGATTCTTGCTCCCTACCTCATCATCGCCACTCTGTAGCTCACTAGAATTTAGAGATTCCTAGTAGCACACTGCTCCAGATGCAGATGGTTTATTAGAACATGCGGCTGGCCAGTGCATGCTGGTTCTCCTACTGGAAAAACTTAGGTACTGTAAGAGGCTGGGACTAATACTATGCTATGGATTAGTGGAAAATTGGTTCGCATAGTTGCATGTGGACTGAATAAACTCATTATGTCGGAAACGCGTCGGTGTATAACGATTCAACGCTTTTGCACATGATCACATGGCAACCATCATCTGAGTCCGAGTATCAGCCGTGACAGGCCAAGGCAGCGGTACACCACATCAGCGCACCTCCCTCTGCTTCCACCAACACTCAGCGGATTCAAATCAAATCGAGCACACCACCCACATCATCATTTCCCAGCCTGGCCCAGCCTGCCGAATTCTCGCCTTACCTGCTGACTCCGTGCGACCCGTGGCTTCGTCTGCGCATCTTCGTGCGACACACCCGTGGGTGAAGCGAGCCGAGCGTCTGGCAACAGCGGATCGTTCTCGTTTCTCGTTTTAAGGCAGACCGACTGCTTTATGACACCGGTTGTTCACCACTGTAGAGGCTCCTCAAAGGCTGTTGACCGCTAAGGATCATTAGGAGGCCTTTCTCATTTTAGCAGCTGCTGACGCGGTGAAATTCTCGCCCGTAGTTTCTATTCGCGTAAGTTCGAGTGGCGTAGCTTCGAGTGGTTGAGCCTCTAGTGGCAGAGACCATATAGCCGGATGCGTGATTCGAGTTAACGGCTAGTGGAGGCGATCGGACGGAGCCGCGCGCATGGCGGAGTGGCGCACTTCGACGCACTGCAGCCGTTGGATCTTCAGCGCCGCTGAGCTGGCGACGATGCGCGCCAAGAACAACCAGCGCGCCGTCGATGCCATCCAGAAGGTGCACGAGTAGCTTGTTTACCTTGCAGATGAGAGTGGGAGGGGGGTTATTTCCGTTCCTCCCACACGCTATCAACCCCTGGTCAATGCTGGTCAACGCTGGTCAACGCGTTGTGCTTGTTCCCGCCCTGCGCCCACCAGCACGGCCACAGCAGAGTGGAGCCGTCGACCAATCCCGCGCTGGTTGAGTCCAGGGGCCAATCGGACGCTGCCACGTCAGCGGACGGCCACACAGCAGCAACAGCAGCAGGAAGAGGGGCGGAAGGGGAAGGCAATCCGGGGGTAGGGCAGGCGGAAGCAGGAGAAGGTAGGACAGGGGAAAACGGAGGAGGGGGCAATGGGGGCAACGGGGGGAACGGGGCGGATGGGGCGGGTGGGGATGCACCGCGGCCGAAGCCGCTGAGTGAGGAGGAGGAGCGGGTGATGTGTCGGTACTACGAGGGCAAGATCCAAGAAGTCTGCGCCGCCTTCCGCTTCCCCTACAAGATCTACGTGCGTGCATTGCCAGATTGCTGCTTCCTGAGATATCCATGCGTGCCTGGGCCAAGCTGAGGCGATTTCATGGTGTTTGTCATCATGGATGGGGTTGCTTGTGAGATCTCCTGTCGTTGTTCATGTGGTTCTTTTTTAGACAGCAGCAATGCTGTTGCTTGCAAGTGATGCACCTTCATTACCTCGCACCATACTCCCCATCCCATCTAATGCACTGCCTGTTGTGCCTCCCGTCTTCCCCTGCCCCTGCCACCCGTCTGTACCCCTTACAGTCCACCTCGCTACAGTACTTCAAGCGCTTCTTCCTCATGTGCTCAGTCATGGAGCACGACCCTAAAAGCATCATGTGAGTTTTTGGTAGTTCGGTAGTGGGTGGTGGAGCAGTGAGCACCAAGAATTAATGGGCTGACTTGTGAGTCGACTCAAGAGTCAACTCATGTGCTCAGTCATTTGAGCACGACCCCTCTTTCGCCCCCTCTTCTCCCACCTCCCCCCACCCTCTCTCTCCACATTGCAGGTTAACGGCCATCTACATAGCGTGCAAGGTGGACGAGGTGTATGTGTCAGCAGAGGAGTTTGGAAGGGGCATAGGGCAGGACCCGCAGGTGGTGCTGGGCTGTGAGGTACTCGTGCTGCAGACGCTCAAGTTCGACCTCATCTGCTACGGGCCGTACCGCGCTATTGATGGCTTCCTGCTGCAGTTGGAGCAGGTGAGGGGTTGCTGCTGATAGGGCGTGTGGTGTGCATGGGGTGTATTGAGGTGCATGGGGGCCATCCAATGCTGCAGATCCTCAAGTTCGACCTCATCAGCTACGGGCCTTAACGCGCTATTCATGGCTTCTTGTTGCAGCTGGAGCAGGTGAGGGGGGGTGCTGCAGATAGGGCGTGTGGTGTGCATGGGGTGTATGGGTGTGTATGGGGTGGGCCGCATGCAGTGTGCATGGGGCACGGGGTGCTGCAGACTTTCAGGTTCGACCTCATCTGCTACGGCCCTTACCGAGCCATTGATGGCTTCCTGTTGCAGCCGGAGCAGGTGAGATCAGTGCTGCAGATAGGCCGTGTGGGCCGAGTGGGCCGTGTGGGCCGAGTGGGCCGAGTGGAGTGTACTGTACTAGAGCGCAATGGGCACACGGGGCATGGGGTGCTACAGGCGCACTATTGCAACCTCATCTGCCCCACATCCTATCGCGCCATCAATAGCTTCTTGCTCGACCTTGCTGTGCATCACGGTGCGGTAAGGGCCATACAGAGCGGTGAAGGGCCAACAAATGGTGGCTTCGCATTGCAATTGCAACCAGTAGAGGTATATCCTCTGTTGCTCATGCTGCAAGTGCTCGTTTTGAGATGTCTGTGCTGTGCTCGTTTTGAGATGTCTGTGCTGTGCTCGTTTTGAGATGTCTGTGCTGTGCTCGTTTTGAGATGTCTGTGCTGTGCTCGTTTTGAGATGTCTGTGCTGTGCTCGTTTTGAGATGTCTGTGCTGTGCTCGTTTTGAGATGTCTGTGCTGTGCTCGTTTTACTCATGATGCTTACCTACCCCTCAAGCTGCTGCTAGTGCTCTTTCCCCTTGCCCCTCCGGCTCCCCTCTCTTCCGCCAATCCCGGCCTCCCCACGAAGCTGCTAGGGGAGCCATTCGCGTCTCAGCCTGAGGACATGAAGAAGCAAACCATCCAGGCAAGTGCTGCTGGGTAGGGGGCGGGGAGCATGGGTCATGCAAACATGAAGTGTGTTCTGCTGACGTGAAACAAGGCATGTACGGTACGCGTTTGTGAGGCATGATGGAGTGAGGCATGGCATTGCACTGGTATGACACTGTCTTTCACATTATTGCTTTCTTCCCATCCATTCCTCCCTTTTCCCATATCAAATGCTCTTTCATCTCGTAAATCCTCCAATCCTCCCCCCATCTCTCTCCATCGTTCTCCACCCCTCCCTTCTCTTCTCTCAGGCGCTGACACATGGGGCATATGCAGCAGTGGGGTCGATATTTCTCACCGACGCACCTCTGCTCTTCCCCCCAGGGCAAGTCTCTCCTCTCTGCTTTTGAGGCGCCTAAATTATTGCTGGTAGATAGACAACTTGTGAGGCGCCTCAAAAGTCTTCCCCCCAGGGAAAGTCTCTCCTCTCTGCTCCCCTTTCTTTGAGTCGACTCAAAATTAGGCTCTCCACACCACCGCAGTGCCCTTCTTTCAGACGTCACCACATACTCTCTCCTTCTCTATGCCAGACAGTACCACCGCCATTCGTCCCATACTCGCTCTTTCTCCACCACCCCACAAACCCAGCTCCTCCCCACTCTGCCCCACTCCACCCCACTCCGCCTCTCTCTGCCCTTCTCCACCGCACCCCACCCCTGGCCAGGCAGCTGGCGCTAGCAGCCATCAAGCTTGCCAACAACGCCTCCTCCGCCATCCCCAACTTCCAAAGGTGCTCTTCCCACCACACCACACCACGCTGCACCGCACCATTTAAACTGTTCCCTGGGGCATGGAAATGGTCATGGTTCATGGGAGATGGTGGCATGCGCATGGACTGATCATGGGTGGCATGGCATCCTTTCATACTCATTAGACCATAAGGCTCATGCTTCTCACCCTTACACGTGCACGCCGCATTATTACCTCACTCACTCATCCCCTTCCTCCATCTCTCTCATCTTACCTCACTCACTCTCACTGTCTCTCTCTCACTCTCACCGAAACCCTCCTCCTCTCATGCCGGTCCCCCTCAATCGCTCTGCCTCCAGTTTTCTTGACTCCGTGGTGGCTGCATCCCCCCCTGCCAAGGCAGCACCAGGGAAGGTGGTGACTGGGGGAGGGGCGGGGCAGGGGCATGTGGGGGCGGAGCTGCTGGCTGCTGTGAAGACCGTTGAGAGCATGGTGAGCGGTGGTGAGAGGTGGTGAAAGGTGGTGAAAGGTGGTGAAAGGTGGTGAGAGCATGGTTAGAGGATGGTGAGCGCGTTGGTCACATGCCGAGTAGCCACATGCCAATCTGTCACAAGGTGACTTTTGAGTCGACTCAAAAGTACCCACGTGCCAATATGTCACATCAATGTCACCTCTCCCCACTCCCCCAATCCCACATTCACTCAGGTGAAGGCGTCTGGGCCGCTACCAGCAGCAGATGTGGTGAAGCGCATCGACAGGAAGCTCAAATACTGCCGCAACCCTGCTCTCATGCTGCACGAGTGAGTCCCCATCTAGGAATGGGTAGTTTGTCACCGTTACCCACCGGTGACAACACCTTGTTCCTGCGAGAGCAACATGTTTCTGGGACAACACCTATGAACCCTATCTGGCCGAACTCTTTGCCATTGGCATTCTTTTCGCTTCCATGCTCCACTGCCTCCCTGTCTCCCCTCTGCCTCTCTCCCCCTCTCACCCTCCCCCTCTCACCCTTCCCCTCTCACCCTCTCACCCTCCCCCTCTCCCCCTTCCCCTCTCACCCTCTCACCCTCCCCCTCTCCCCCTGCGCACTTGCGCACCAGTCGCAAGGAGCGCAAGGAGAGGAGCAAGTCCAAGCGGGCACCGCACAGCGTTGCGCTCACTGCCGCACCGCCTGTTACCTCCTCCCCTCTGTAAGCTCCATCCGCCCTGTTGCCTCCACTCCCCTGTAAAATTCCCCCCTCTGTAACCTGCATCTCTCCTGTTTGCTCCATCCCTCCTTGCCTTTCATCCATATCCTCGCTTTAGCATCAGCCTCTGCCACAGTAGGAGCTACATGTGTTCCTCTGTTGAATTCTGTATGCTCACATGATTCCATGCTTCTATGCTCGCATGCACGTATGGCCAACAGGGAGGATGCAGCAGCACGCAATGCCAAGAGAAGGCGAAGCACAAGCACTCTTCCGCAGGGCACGTAGCGACCCTAGCTGTGTCTCTCAGGGCACATGGCACCACGCAGTCACATCTATCTCTGTTCCAACACAATAGGGTGATCCTGTTTCCGTAGAAGCGTATTTACAATTAGGGGCAGTTTCAGCTGGCAATGCCTAAATATGTGGTAAACACAGAAGGTTGCCATAAATCGTCAGCTACTATGCTGTTAACCTGTACGAGTTGCTACGGCTTCCCACAAAGGGTTTTGAGTCAGTACGACACATCGCATCAAAGCACCAGCCTTTGCGTTCGACCTGGGCCTTGAATGCACCTTGATCATGCTACCGTACTAGTCTACCATCAACCCATTGTTACCACTGTACCCCACTAGCACTGCATGTTCTATCGCTGCTGATGCCTATCTAAAACCACCAAACAGACCAACACAGAAAGAGGCAGCCTGTTGCTGTGCAACAACACACTTACGCATGTCTCAGCTGCCTGCATAGACCTTGGACCCCGCACAGTCATCAACACCACTCCCTGCACACACGGTCCCTGCTCCACCTTTCTGCTCTTCCTCAACACCTGACACTGCACCATTCACCCTCACCCCATCACTGCTCCCATCCACCATTCCATCCCCACCCGCCTCCGCCCCTCCACATGCCTCCCTGCCTTCCCTTGTTTCGTCCAACGAGGCTGCTACTGCCACCTGCTGCTGCAATGAAGGCAGGTCATCATGCCCCTCCTCCCGCCTCTCCCCACCGCCCACCTCAGTTCCCCCACCCGCCTCTGCCCCTTCACCCACCACACTGCCTTCATCCAACAGGCCTTCCCCTGCCACCTCCGGCTGCAACGAAGTTGGCCCTGTGTGCTCCTCAGCCTTCTCCTGCCCCTCCTCCCCGTTCCCCCCACCGCTCACCTCAGTTCCCCCACCCGCCTCACCTTGCCCACCTGCCCCTGCCCCGTCCCCCACCACACTGCCTCTCTTTGCTTCATCCAACCGGCCCTCCCCTGCCACCTCCTGTGACAACAAAGGCGGCCCTGTGTGCTCCTCAGCCCTCTCTTGCCCCTCCTGGTTCTCCCCTTCTCCAGCACAGCCCTCTGGTGGGATGTCAGTAGTTCCACTCTCGGCCTCCTCAGTCCCAGGCTGCTGATTCCTAAGATCCCCTTTCTCACAAGTAGCAGCAGCGCTAGCAGTAGCAGCGGCGGCATCAGCTGCGGAATCACAGTTCCCACCAGTAGCAACCGTTTGACCTTGACAGTTGGCAGCAATGCCAGCAGCATCAGAAGCAGCATCAGCAGATGCACCAGAAGCAGCATTAATACTAGAATCAGGAGCACTATCAGCAGGTGGGACTGCATCAGCACCAGCAGCATTGGCACCATCATCAGCATCAGCAGCAGAAGAAGCAGCAGCACCACCACCAGCAGCATCAACACCAACAGGTGCACGACCTTCATCAGCAGCATCAGCAGCAGCAGCAGCATCAGTACCACCAGCACCAGCAGCACCATCAGCAGCACCATCAGCAGCACCATCAGCAGCACCAGCATCAGTGGCAGCAGCATCAGCACCAGCAGCACCAGCAGCACCAGCAGCACCAGCAGCACCATTAGCATCAACAGCAGACGCATCAGCATCAGTGGCAGCAGCATCAGCAGCATCAACAGCATCAACAGCAGGGGCAAGAGAGCCTGCATTCATCAGATGCATGTGCGCATCCAAACCACCACCATGCCCATCCGTCATACCCCCGTGCAAGTGCATGTGCTCATGCATCAGCGCCGCATGCTCCTCTGCCGACATCACATGCTGACCCCCTGCCAGCACCACATGCTCTCCCCCCTCAGGCAGCACATGGCCCCCATCGGGTGATAACACTTGCTGCTTCCCTGGTGTGCCGGCAGCACGGTGCAGGTAGAGGTGTTCGTAGTAGAGCAGCAGGTGGTGCAGCATCTCGTTCTCCCGCTCAACTGCTGCCTTCCCCGCCACCAGCTCTGCCTTCTCCTGCAGCAGCACTCCCAGCTGCTCGTGTAACTGCGAGCAAGAGAGAACAGGTGGGGGGGAACATTAAGGGGGCATTATGAAAAAGAAATTCAGCAGACAGCAAGGAGACGGGAGGGCAGTCTTGTAGCATCTCGTTCTCCCGCTCCACTGCTGCCTTCCCCGCCACCAGCCCTGCCTTCTCCTGCAGCAACACTCCCATACGCTCGTGTAACTGCGGGCAAGGAGGGAGGGACACTCAGCAGACAGCGAGGAGGAGGGGGGGGGCAGTCTTGTAGGATCACGCACATTCCAACCCTAGAAGCACACTCACCATATCTTCCAATTCGGAGTGATGGTGATGGTGATGTGTGTCCACGCCCCCCTCCCCCTCCAACCCACCCTCCACCTCACGCTCTCCCACCCCATCCCCCTTCCCTCCCGCCTTCGCCGCCTCTGCAGCAGCCAGCGCCGCCCTGAGCCGCTCATTCTCCTCCTCCACCGCTCTGCACCGCTCTCGAGCGTCCATGGCGTCTCTCCGGGCTGCCTTGAGGTCCGCCTGCAGCTGCTTGGCGCGCATGGCCATGGCTGTCGCCACCTGGTGGGGGGGGGTGGAGAGCGGTGGGGGGGAGCAGGGATGGGATTAGAGATGGTGGAGATGAGAGATAAGAATGAGGTGCTTTGCCCGCATGGCCATGGCTGTCGCCACCTGCAGGCAAGAAACGGGTGGAGAGTGGGGGGAGGGGGAGAAGAGGAGGCATGAGATGACGGGGAGGAGGAGCAACGAGAGGAGTGACGCTAGCACGAGTTACCTTGTTCACATGATCATGTATGCATGTGAGTGTTGCATGTCCCCCCAGGTGACTTTGCATGCATGTAGCACTCACATCTCTTCCCAACTCCCCATTGCAGCGGAGGACTCACATTCCTGGACGCCACGAGCTGGGTCTCCTTGGGTACACGCACTGCCGCCTCACTCGCCCGCGTCACCACCTCCTCTCTCCCACCCAGTATCTCCCTCCCCTTAGGCAACCGCACTAGCAGATCATCTTCCGCTGCCAGCTCAACACCTAACGCGGCGGCTAATGTAGCGGTTGACGTGGCAGCTGACGTGGCAGCTGGGCCAGAGGACGCATGGCCGGGAGCTTGAGGGGGAGGAGAGGCAAGAGGCTCATCAGGCCGTGCAGCAAGGGCGGGAGGCGAGACAGGGGAAGCGGGAGAGACGAGGGCGGGAGGAGAGACAAGGGCGGGAGGAGAGGCGAGTGAAGCAGGAGATACGAGGGAGGCAGCAGTTTCTGTTTCCCCTGACCGCCCTTCTCGTGCCTCCATCCGTTGCTCTACAGGCACAACCCCTCCACCATGCCCTTCACCCATACCACTACCATTCCGCTCTGACTCTCGCACTGCTGCTGCTCCTGCTACACCTGCTGCTCCTGGTTCTACTATTCCTCCTGTTGCTGCTGCTGCTGCTGCTGCTGTCGCTGCCTGTGTGAGCGCCACTACATCTGTCTGTGCCGCCACGGCCTTTGCTGCACCCACAGCTGCTGCTCTACCTGCACCCACCGCTGCTTCTCCTGCTTTCCCTCCCCCTGCTTCCGAAACTACCGCCTCAGCTGTTGCTGCTACCGCCTCAGCTGTTGCTGCTACCGCCTCAGCTGTTGCTGCTACCGCCTCAGCTCTCGCTGCTACTGCCGCTCCTGCCGCCCCTGCTGCACCTCCTGCTCCTCCCACTGCTGCTCTTCCCGCTACAGCTCCCCCTCCCCCCGCTGACCCTACAGCAGCGTCAGAGCCCCTGTCAGCGCCTCTCGTCTGCACGCCGTCAGCCCCTCTCGACTGCACGAGGCGGGGGCGCGCGTCTCTGGTGGGCGCTCTGGGCGCGGATTGTCTGGCTGAAGCGCTGGGCTTGGTGCTGCCCGCTGATGCTGCCTTTCTGGGGGGCGGGTGGTCCTCCACCGCCACCTGCACCACCTTGCCTATGCCCTCCTGCCGTCACGCGCACGTAGGTATGAGAGGAGGGTGTGGGGGTGGGGTGGGCAAAGCGAGGGCTTTGAGACGTCTTAAAGAGGGGTGGTCCTGCACCGCCACCTGCACCACCTTACCCATGCCCTCCTGCTGGTGCGTATAACGGAGGGAAAAGGGAGAGGTGATGGGGATGAGTGGGGAGGAGATGGGGAGGGCGAAAGGGACGGAAAACGAGCGGTTTTGGAAGGACTTAACGCATAGTGTGTGTGTGGGGGGGAGGGGGGATGGTGGTGGGAGGGATGGAAAGTAGAGGGCGTTTGCATGAGTGTGCATGTGTGCGTGTGCGGGCCCATGTCAGTGACAGGGCAGCTTACATCGAGGGCGGAGCCAAGGGTGTCACCGAGAAGAGAGATGGAATTGATAATCGCGTCCAGCCCTCCCTGCACAAACCCACCACCGCCACCACCGCCGCCTCCTCCGCCCTTGGCCCCCCCTGTCGTTGATCCAGCTGCAGCGCGACCTGACGCTCCACTTCCTGCTGTTCCTGCTGCTCCTCCTGCTGCTGCAGCAGGCTTCGGATCCCCTGAACCTCGCTTCCCCGTTGCCATCCCTGCCGTCCGTTCTTCTCCGGCAAATTTCGCGTTTCCAGTACCTCGCGCCTGCGTGGGCTTCGAAGCTCCAGCATTCTTGACGCTTCCCGACTGCGTTTGCGACGGATTTGTCTTGCCGCTCGCCCTCCGTGGGCTGCTGGACACCCCGCTGCTGACTACAGGTTTCCCCAGGAGATCCTGGCGTGGAGCGAAACGGACAGGGGGGTCAACAAACACGGAAAGACGCGAACACGCAGGGACACCGAGTAGGGTAACGATATTGCCAAGCTCAGGAAGACGGAACCGCAGCAAGGCCCAATAAGTCAACCGACAATGCTCCGCGGTCAGCTCAGCATTCTGGCCGTTGGTGGAACCAACTCAGCGAGAACCTGCCCCGATTCGGCAGCAGATGCTCACCTCCGCATTGAGCGTGGGAGACTGGTGCTGCCGCGGTGTAGATGCGCGCGACGAGGACGAGGGGATGTCGTCCTCGAGCACGAAGTCCGCCACCTTCTTCACCAGGCTCGACCAGAAGCTTTCCTGCGCCGCCGGGATCGGCGCCTCCGCCTTCCGCCTCGCACTCACCGACCGATCCATCCTGGCGTGCCCGATCGCTGGCTAGCAAATCGACGAGTTTATTTGCAGTGCAGGCTAACGCAGACGCAGGAGGCTCAGCAGGTGTACCTGCGTGTTGCTGCCGTTCCTACGGATGCCGCTTCACTTTCTAGAGGAAATGCTTGTCGGGTTGAACGATAACATCAACACTAAACCGTGATTTTTTATTCGAAGGCCCTAACCTAATGCCATCGCTCGCTAGAATCAGCTGGTCTCAGGTACACCAACATATCCATGTATCGGAACGTAAGCCTTCGTATTTCTACTCATTGCGATGAACCAGCTGGTGGAGAAGCAGAATTCTCGAAACGAGAGAAGCGTGATGTAGGCGAATGCGTGCATTCGACAACCAGAACGAAGAAAGGTGTGCGTGCGTCCAGTTGCAATCCGAAGTCCGTGAAAGCTGGAGTTTACGAGGTGAGTGGTCGAGGTGAGAAATCTTGTCAGCAATGGGACGTAACTGTTCAGCGGCTAGAAACCTTTTTAAAACGCTACGGAACTTACCCTAACGCACTCAATACCTCGCTGATGGAATGTGACAAAATCGGGGTTTGGATTCCGAAGGTTGGGGGGAAGGGGAAACCTACATGAGGGTGACTGATGGAGGGAAATGCTGTGAGTGGCTGGAAAATGGTGTCAGGCGAAGATGGAGGGACACGAGGGGGCCAGTCGTGTGTGGCTGGAAGTGGCCAATTGGCGCGCGGTTGTTGGGAACCAAGCACACACAACTATATGAGCACTCACAAATGAGTATAGAGAAAACGATGCAAACACGTGAGTAAAGGGGAAATATGCAAATACGTAAGTGTAGACAGCGTAACTGTTCGTTGTAGTTTCTTGTGGAAGAGGCTGTTGGTGAGTACGTATGGCTACGTGGAAAGTCGCACTTGTTTCCACGTGTCGGCGGAAGCGTCACACTAGGCCTGGTTTGCCTCTCCGTTCGGTTTGCTGTCGGTGGTGCTGTAGGTTACTCAAGTCGTTTGTCGTCAGCGCAACGAAACGCTCTGCCAAGCTGTAATTCGTTCAACGAAGTCGCGAGTGTCGCTCCACCTCTCCGTCACCGAAAACAGCCGAACACAATCCAGCAACAGACAAAAGTACTGCCAGAATCCAGCGTGTCTAACTGACTGTTGCGGAGAGGAAGGGGAAGGTGAGGTGAGAGTCAAGGCTCCGTGACCGTGACCCGTCCTACGCTCCACCCACAAATGCGCAAATGCGATGCGTCGGCGAGCGGTCCGACCAAAATTTCAGGCGAGGTCCATCCGCAGTTCCCTCCCCTTGGTTCCCCTCTTTCCACTCACCGTTCTTCCCCTCCCCCCGCAGCGCAAGAGGGGTTCAAGGGCAGTGGGACTCCCGCTGTGGGAGCATTTTGCGCCTTTCGCAGCTGCGGGGGCATCCCCAAGATTCACACAGGGAGGAGTGGCGGAGGAGCGGGCGAGATGCTTGTTTGCTGGGCGGAACCAGAAGCGACCACGAAGCCGACAGCTCGACGGAAGCAGAAATCTGAGCATACCCAGCCGCAAATCTGACGCAAGCAGGAAAGCTGACCATTGCACCTGGATTCTTACCTTTTCACATCGCTTCTTGCAAACTTTCTTTCCGCAGTATCTTAGAGTTCGCCGCACAGAAACCTGAATACCATAGTATCTCCTCATCCAGAAAGTAGTTTCTCTATGCAATCTCCTTAGAGGTTTTTCTGAACCCGACTGTCGCTCGCGCCGATTTGTCCCTTCGAGTTATTTAATCGTTTAAGTTGGCCCAAGTAATGCATCTCGCCGGTTGTTTTTCTTCCAGCCGGCAACTGAAACGGCCACCGTCACTATCGTCTCTTCGCATAGCTTATCCGTTACCGTACTCCTGGTTCAATACATCCCAAACCCAGGTCGAGCCTGTAAACGAGCCGCGTAATAACGAGTTCCCAGTCACCGAGTCGCCAATAGAGGGGATCCACGTGGGCGAATCTGGATCCGAGATTCCTCACATGCCACGTCAGACGCAGCACCGTCAAACCTCCTCCCTCGATTTCCCTCCCACCAGCAACTCCTTAACTCCGCCCCTCCCCGCTTCCACCCCGCCCCCGCTTTCCCGTCCCCCGGCGACGCGCTCCCCTGCCCCCTTCTCTACGGGAGCGGGATTTCCGCAATCTCCCGCCGCGCAGTCTCCGCCGCCCTTAGCAATAACGGTAGTTTCTGCGCATCCGTTCAAGCGCCGCGCGGTCGAGGGTCCTTCGCCGCCCCTTTCCCCCCTCCCCCGGCTCAACGAGACCCATCGCTCCCCGCTTTCCTCGCCGTCTTCCGCGGTCTATGGCATCCGCGCTGCGCCTCTTAGCCCTTGCGCGGGGGAAGGGGGGGGAGGGGGAGGAGGGAGTGGAAGAGGTGAGGGAAGTGGGGGGAGCGGGGGAGGTGCGGGAGCGCAATCCAGGCCGCACGATGGTTCCGCGAGCACAATAGCGGGGTCTTCCGTAACTCCCGCACCGGAATCCAGTGTAGTTTGGCCGGCGAGTGCGCCACGTGGCGGCCAGATCCGCGGACCTTCTGCGCCTTCAGACGCAAGAAAGGCGGAACTTTTGAGTCCTTCAGGCGCGCGGGAGCAGGGGATGCCGCTTCCGCGCGCGCAAGAGCGGGAGCGGCGGGTGGGCGGAAAGGCCTTAGCTTCCCCGCAGCCCCGCGATGCCCCCCTCGGCGCAGTGACGCTAGAGTGGACTCAAAAGCCGCCTTCCCCGCGATCCCGCGATGTTCACCCCCGCGCCGCGACTCTCTCCAGCGCGCTGCTCGCGCGCATCGACGCGATTTTCCTGAGCAAGCGCAGCAAGGAGCGCGCGGAAGCCAAGGCGAAGGCGCAGGCGCAGGCGCGGCTACGAGCAGCGGCGGGCGGAGGGTCGAAGCGGCGCGGGCAGGCTGACTCGGCCGCCGCCGCAGCAGTAGCAGCAACGGGGAGACAGGAAGCTCCCGTCACGGCGGAAACGAGAGGGGGAAATACCGCGAGTGTGTGGGAAGGGACGGGTCCTAAGGCGCGGCGGTCACTGTCACTGGACGGCGCGAGGGCAAGACGCGCGGGGGAGCGAGTTGCGGAGCTGGGGGTGGGAGGAAAGGTGAAAGCGGAACCTGATGTCTGGGAGATGGTTGGGGGAGGTTCAACTGGGGTGAGTGGGGAGAGTGGGGGAAGCGGGGGAAGCGGGGGAACAGGGGTAAGCGGTGGAAGTGGGGGGATGAGTGGTACCATTTCTGGCGGTAGCAGCGGGATTGATGGCGAGCCGAGAGCTCGCACAGCTCTTCACTCACCTGCTGGTGCAGCGAACGCCTTTCCTGTTGCTGCGCCACCTGCTGCTGGAACAAGAATCCCTGCGGCAACAATGGCAGCAGCAGCAGAAACGGCAGACGCACAGGTGAAGTGGCTGGCAGCAGGCGACATTAGAGTTGAGAGTGGCCTTGCAAGCGAGGCCGGGTTCGCCCCTGCGACCACCAACAGCAACGTCCACGGCAGCAGCTGCGCAGTGGTGCAGCAGCAGCAGCAGCAGCAGCAGCAGCAGCAGCAGCAGCAGCAGCAGCAGCAAGAGCAACCGGCGTGGATGATGGTAGCAGGCACGCTCACTCGCGCTGCTGTTGTCGTCCCCATGCCCGGCAGCACTGCCATGCCTGCTCCCATGCCTGCTCCCATGCCTGCTCCCATGCCTGCTCCCATGCCTGCTCCCATGCCTGCTCCCATGCCTGCTCCCATGCCTGCTCCCATGCCTGCTCCCATGCCTGCTCCCATGCCTGCTCCCATGCCTGCTCCCATGCCTGCTCCCATGCCTGCTCCCATGCCTGCTCCCATGCCTGCTCCCATGCCTGCTCCCATGCCTGCTCCCATGCCTGCTCCCATGCCTGCTCCCATGCCTGCTCCCATGCCTGCTCCCATGCCTGCTCCCATGCCTGCTCCCATGCCTGCTCCCATGCCTGCTCCCATGCCTGCTCCGTCCCTCGCTCCCACGCACACCCCTCCTGTACTCGCATCGCCGCTCTCACTGTCCCCAGCAGCCACCACAGGCACAGCCAGTGCAGCACGCCCAGCAGCATCGCTCTCACCCTTCAAACCACCCGCCCATGAGCCCTCTTTCATAACCCATCTGCAGCCACCCTCCTCTCCTCTGCCGCCTCCTCCTCATCATCCTCATCCTACTGCTCTTGCCACCCCTCCCCCTGCTGTCCCCCCAGCCACTCCCCCTTATGCTCCCCTTCCCTCTCCCCTTTCTCTCGCCCCCTCCGCTTCCCCTGCTGCCCCGCCCCCTACTCCCCCTGCTCCGTCCGCGCGCCACCCCTCCCCACACCACTCCATCCCCCACCACCACCCTCATCCCCCGCACCATCCCCACCACCATAACCACCCGCGCGTGCGGTACCGGGGGGTGCGGCAGCGGCGGTGGGGGCGGTGGGTGACGGAAATCCGCGAGCCCACCACGCGCACGCGCATCTGGCTCGGCTCCTACGATAACGCCGAGGAAGCCGCCCGCGTGTACGACATGGCCGCCCGGCTGCTCAAGGGCCGGGCGGCGCGGCTTAACTTTCCCCACAGCGTGCAGCCAGTGGCGGTGCCGAGGGGGATTGCGGATGCCCTCATGCGAGCCAGCCGGGCGGCAGCAGAGGCTGGCGGGGGGGAGGGTGGTGGGGGAGGGGGAGGTGCGGGTGGTGGGGGAGAGGGTATGGATGATGGGGAGGGTGGTGGGGATAGTGTGGTTGACGGGCATGGTAGGGAAGGGGATGGTGATGGGGACTGGGGCGGCAGTGCTGGGTGCGGTGGTGTGAGCGGGATGGAATTTGCTGGTGCAGCGGCAGGGGGGCAGGGTGAGGCGGGCGCGGAGGGAGGGGAGGAAAATAAGGCTTGGGGTGGTGAGCAGATGGAGTATGGCACGGGGCAGGGACAACAGGGACAACCGCAGCAGAGCGTTTTGGTTCAGTATCAGCATGCCATGCAACCGCAAGTAGGCCAGCAGGAGCATTATAGTCAGCAGCAGCTGCTGCTGCCGCAGAATCATCAGCAACAGCAGCAGCGGCAGGATCAACAGCAGCATACCCAGCAGAAGCAGGCGAGCAGGGAGGCACCTGAGAATCCACCTGGCAGCCAAGCGCCATCGTGGGAGGAGACCCTGAGAGACCTGGGCCTGGACCCCCCTCTTCCCCCTGCCGCCCCTCCCCCTCCCCTTTCCTTCACTCCCAATGCACCTCCTCAGCCCCTCTCTGCTGCACCCACTGCTCTCCACTGCTCTTCACCACCAGCAGCAGCACCACCACCACCAGTGTGTAACCCCATCCCGCCCCTCCAGCACCCCTCCTCTTCCCCTCCTGCGCGTGCCCCTGTCGCTGCTCGCCTCCCCACGTGTCTCCACTCACACCCCTCCATACCGGTCAGCAGGCAGCCCCCTGCTTCACCTCCCGCCCTCTCTCCCAGCTGCTCCCTTGCCATCCATGCCTGCTGCAACCACCACTGCTGTTACCCCACCTGCTACTACACCACCACCTGCCACTACACCCTCTCCTCCTGCCATCTCCCAGCCTCTTTCGACACTCCCCTGCTCCAACCCCAACGAACGGACGGACCAGATTGACCAGAACAGTCAGATGGAACGTACGGACCGGATGGAGCAGATGGACCAGATGGAACGGACGGACCAGATGAAACGGATGGACCAGATGGAACGAACGGACCAGATGGAACAGACATACCAGATGGAGCGGATTGAGGCCCCCTTAGAGCCTTATACATTGGAGCTTCCACAGGTGCATTCCCACACCTCCACTGCCACCACTGTAACCAGCGTTACTGATGGTAACATGGTTACCACTACAGGCACTACCAGCGGCACTGCCACGACAACGGCCTCTGATTGGTCAGCGAACGTTCTTGTCGACTCCAATGATTCCTCCATGCAGATCTTCGGGCAGGCGCTTAATGTTTTCTGCCCGAACCACCAGTCGCCTTCTAAAGTTTCTTGTAACTCCCCGCCCGAACCATCTGTCCGAACCTCACTCCACCAAGCCCCTCTCTCTCGTCCGGCGACCGTCCCAGCCAGCCGTCCTGCCATTCGCGCTGCCGAACCTCCTCCTCTTGTTCTCCCACCCTCGCTGGATGCCCTTTCATTGGCCAGCCTCAGTGCCGAACCTCTGTTGTTGCCAACCCTTCCAGAGAGGTTCGGGGGAGGTTTGGAGGAGGAGGGGATGACAGGAGATGAAGGATGGTTCTTGTGGCCTGACCTTTAAGGTATGGATGGCGTCGGTGTTACAAGGCCACCATCTCCTGGTTTTACTGTGTTACAGTTCAGAATTCACGTATTCATGGCGAGGCTCGAAGTGGCGGCTCCCGCGCTGCCACCCGATCAGCTACTTTCTCCGCGCTGCACCTTTTACGGATATAGCCACCGCGCTTGCCCAATCATGCTGCTGTGTTCCACGAGTCCAGTTCCCCCGTGATGCTTGGCTCCTTGTGGCACTGTAAATGACTGCTAAGGGCTAGCACAAGCATGAGGACTCGGCATGGACTGGCAGGATTTTTGGGCAGGATGGCAGCATTACTTAGTTTTCATATGTTGGTTTCTGCATCGTGTTACAACGGGTGCATGATTATGGATACGATAGCGTACGGCATGCGCAACAACAGCTGATGAAAATGTGGTCCCATGCCCAACTTTTACACTTGCAACTACTCTGTTCAAATTACAATAGTGAAGGATTACTATACCTACTTCCTTTGGCAGGACGATTTGCAGGTTGCTAAGTTCGAAACCTTCGTAGTGCGGATACCAACCTCGATATTGCACGGCAAAACAATTATTGGTGCTCCCCCCTCCGCTCCCCCCTTTCCCCCACCTCCTCGGGCAGGGTTTGACCATTCCCTCTCACAGCAGCCTTCCCCCCACACCGTCCGGCCGTCTCTCCCCCAACTCCGCCCTTTCCCTTCCCCTCCCGCTTCCCTTTCCGCTCGCTCATTCCGCGTTCCCAATGTCGAGCTAACGCAAACTGTACACCGCATCCGACTGCGAGAACTACTCCACAACCACACTAAACCACACCAGAACAAACATGGATTCACGAAACCACGCCACACCACAGCAGCCGCAAGGAGCCGGCACGGCACGAGCAGCCAAATCCCTTCATGAATCATCACTGTCACCGAACCGATATGCTGTCCCAGCTCAGACCCCAGCTTATGGATTCAGTTCGGTCCACACCAACAGCGTCTAGCGCGCCCCATTCCGGCGCACTCCATTTCTTCGGAGAATGTACTCCCCATTTGGCTGGGAAACAGGCAGTTGTGGCTGTTCGTAGGCCAGAGTCAAGTAAATCTTGAAATGTTCATGTATAATGAACCCCGGGTCGGGATGTAGTAGAGATAATGGCAGTGGATTAAAGTGGTTATTCGTTCCGCCATGGTAAAGACTTCGTCTAATGGCTATCGTAGATGTATTTTTCATGTAAGAGGAAACAATAACCGAAGTCCACGTTTAACAAATTGACGTCGCGGTTCCGAACTGCCAATTCGCGTCCCGTAACGGCCGTTCTTCTCGCGTTGATAACGCCGCATTCGACGCGCGCAGCTCTCGCCTTCTGAAGTTCGTTGCGACGCAAGCGTCAAGCGATCCCCTACCTATCAAATCTCAGCATTCAGCCATGGCGTTGCCGAGGTTGAGAATCGAACCCGGGGCGTTAGCATTCAGCTGTAAGCGCACTCCCTTCAGCCACGCATTCCCAACGCAACTGTCGTCCCAGTCCCGCCCGGGTTGAAACTCTTTTCCATCTCTCGGATCGTCGTTTTCCTGCACGCTTTCTGCACTCAGTCTGCACTCATTCTGCGCACTTCCCTGCATGCTCACAATTAATCGTCTCCCATTCCCCTCCTTTCCCACTCCCATTCTTCTCCCACCTCTCCGCGTGACGGCAGTCGAGGCGGGAAAGGAGCTGCGCACGCGCGTGAGGATTCACAATGACTACTCCAAGGATGTCGTTATCACGGTCAGTCTCTTCCCGTGTGACTCGCTCCCTGCTCATTGCTCCCGCGTGACTCGCTCCCTGCTCATTGCTCCCGCGTGACTCGCTCCCTGCTCATTGCTCCCGTGTGAGTCGCTCCGCGTTTTGAGTCGATTGAAAACAACGACTATGTCGTCATGACGGTCAGTCTTCTCCTACCCACCTGCTCATTGCTCACCTGTGAGTTGCTCCGCTGTTAGTCCCCCTCCCTCCCTCGCTGACTCTCTCACTCCCTCTCTCCCTCCCTCCCTCCCTCCCTCCCTCCCTCCCTCCCTCCCAAACCCCTTTCCGTCCCTTCCCCCCTCCTTCCCTCCCTCCCTCACCACCAGGTAAAGCCGGGCACAGTGCGCAAGTATGAGGTGAAGGCCTGCACCAACGACAAGCTGCTGCCCTCTTCCCTCGTTTCCTCCCTCCCTCGCCCCCCCTAACTCCCTTCCTCACTCATGCACTCCCTCCCTCCTTCACCACCAGATCAAGCCGGGCACGGTGCGCAAGTACGAGGTCAAGGACGGCACCAAGATCGTAGTGCCTGAAGGCTCCTCCTTCCTCCTCACTGGTAACCACATGCGCACTGGTAACCACCTCCTCACTGGTAACCACATGCGCACTGGTAACCACCTCCTCACTGGTAACCACATGCGCGCTGGTAACCACCTCCTCTCTGGTAACCACCCCTTTTCTCTCCTTGCGTGCAACTTCATCATATCCCCTGCCTGCATCACTTTCTGCTCTTGACCCACATCGCACCCCACCCTACCCCCTGCCCCTCTCTTCCCCTCAAACACCATCCCCCGCAGTGTCATGCCTGCCGCTGTCATCCATGCCCTTCTGTTCTGAAGCGACTCAATAATAGCGCCCCAACCACACTAACCCTCTCTCCCCTCCACACTGTCCCTACAGTGTCATGCCTGCCGCTGTCATCCATGCCCTCTGGCCTGACGCGTTTCAGTACCACCCTACCCACCCGCCACCCGTTTACCCCTACCCCTCTCCCTCCCCCTCCATCCTCCTGGCAGTGTCGTGCTTACCGCTGTCATCCATGCCCTTCTGGCCTGATGCCTTCGTGCTGGCGTGCCACATGCCCACTGACAAATTCACCCGCCGCCTCTCCCTGCACACGGTGCGTGAGCTACTGAGTGTGTAGGGCGGGGAGGAAATGGTGGGAGGGAGGGCCTCTACCTTGTCGTTCTCACAGCAGTGTGAGTGCAGTGACACGGCTTCGTGCTGCCATGCCACATGCCCGCTCACAAGTTCACTCGCCGCCTCTCTCTGCACACGGTGAGGAAATGGGAGAGGCTTTGGTAGGTAGGAGGGGGGAAGCAAATGGCGGGAGGGAGCGTAACTTCATATGCTATGCACACAGCAGAGAGAGTGCAGAGAGAGGTAACTTGTGAGCGTTCATGAGGTGCCTTCGTGCTTCCATGCCACATGAACGCTCACAAGTTCACCACCCGCGGCCTCATGCTGCACCACGCTGAGCCCGTGATGGGAGGGGCACTGGGAAGAGCGACCACTTTCACCTCCTCCCTCTCTTCTCTTGCTCCTCCCCCAACAGCCAATGTCAGCACTGCGTGCGGTCTCACTAAGGGGGTGTCGGAGGAGCAGTGTATCAGTGTGTGTATCCCTTACACTCTCTCTTCCTCTTTTTTATATATATATATTTTTTCTATTTTCTCTTCTTTTATTTTCCTCTCCCTCTTTGCCTCTTCCCCAGCCCATGTCGCAACTGCGCGCCGTGTGCCAGATGAAGCTGCCTGTGATTTTCACAGACGAAGTCACCAAGGGGGTGGCGGAGGAGCAACACGCGCAGGCACAGGCCAAGAAGCAGAAAGAGAAGGAGAGGCAGCAGCAGAAGCAGCTGCAGGCGCCAGCACTGAAAACCGTGAAGGAAGGGGAGGAGGGCGGGAAGGAAGACGCGGAAGGGACGGGATCTCAGGGGGGGAAGGGGGGGAAGGGAGGGAAGGTGAGGTTTGCAGGTGATGCGCCTCTGAAAGGGGGGATTTCGCGTGTGTGGAAGGGCAGTGCAGCAAAAAAGGAGGAGGAGGAGGAGGCGAAAAGGAAGGAGGAGGAGAGGAGGAGGGAGGAGGAGAGGAGGAGGCGGGAGGAGGAGGAGAGGAAGTTGATGGAGAGGGCGGAGAGGAGGGAGGAGATGAGTGGGCAGTCTATGGATCGACTTCTCGCCTCTATTGCTGCGAAGGACAAGAGCCACGTCTATGTGGGTACCCTTGCCTGCACGCACGCACGTTCGCGTTTTCATGTCCCTTCATCCCCACACCTGTGCCCGTCCGTGTCTTTTCCTCACAACCTCATGGGCTGAATTCTGACTTCCTTTTTCCCCTCTCACCTCAATCCCCTCTTCCCTCCCTCTTCCCTACCCCTCTCCCTCCCCCTCTTCCCCCCCTTCCCCCTCTCCCTCCCATGACATCCGTTTGGCGGACTTTCAGCCTCTCAGTCTCCCCCTCACCTTGCTCCCTGCCCCCTCCCCTCCCACCTGTGGGAGCCCTTCCTCGAGACCACATGTGCGGGCTTCAACCTGCTGCCTGCTCTCTCGTTCCCCGCTTCCCTCCCTTCTTTCCCTCCTCTCCACCCCTTCCCCCTCCCTTCACAGCTGTGGGAGCTGTTCCTCGAGACATCAAGAGCGGATTTCAAGCTGCTCTCTGTCTCTCCCTTCTTCCACATACCCCACATCTCACAACCTTCCTGCCTCCCCCCCTCCCTTCACAGCTGTGGGAGCTGTTCCTCGAGACATCAAGAGCGGATTTCAAGCTGCTCTCTGTCTCTCCCTTCTTCCACATACCCCACATCTCACAACCTTCCTGCCTCCCCCCCTCCCTTCACAGCTGTGGGAGCTGTTCCTCGAGACATCAAGAGCGGATTTCAAGCTGCTCTCTGTCTCTCCCTTCTTCCACATACCCCACATCTCACAACCTTCCTGCCTCCCCCCCTCCCTTCACAGCTGTGGGAGCTGTTTCTGAAGACGTCAAGGGCGGATTTCAAGATGCTGCAGCATCGCCTGGAGGCCGCTCTGCTCGAGGTGCAGGCCGTCAAGTCACAGCTGGTGCGTGCCTGCTGCTCGCTCGCTGCTCTCTCTCTGACTTGCTAAAGCATTCTCTAGTACTGCCGCCCTTGCAACCATGAGTGACAAAGATGCTGCAGCACCGCCTGGAGGCCGCCTTTCCGGAGGTGCAAGCCGTCAAGTCACAGCTGGTGCGTCCCTTTTTGAGACGTCTCAAAGATACACTTCATACACGTAATTCCAAGCTGCTGCAGCATCGCCTGGAGGCCGCTCTGCTGGAGGTGCAGGCAGTCAAGCCACAGCTGGTGCGTGCTGCTCGCTGCTGCTCATATGTACTGCTGGCTGCTGCTGGGTGCTGCTGGGTGCTGCTGGGTGCTGCTGGGTGCTGCTGGGTGCTGCTGGGTGCTGCTGGGTGCTGCTGGGTGCTTTCGGGTGCTGCTGGGTGCTTTCGGGTGCTGCTGGGTGCTGCTTGGCTGCTTGGTACTGCTGGGTGCTGCGTGGTGCTTCTGGGTGCTGCTTGGTGCTGCTGGGTGCTGCTTGGTGCTGCTGGGTGCTGCTTGGTGCTGCTTGGTGCTGCTGGGTGCTGCTTGGTGCTGCTGGGTGCTGCTAGGTGCTGCTTGGTGCTGCTGGGCTGCTCTGCTGCATCATGAAATGGCTGCTCTGCTTTCTGTCTCAAGCCTCTCCGACTCCTCGCTCCCCCCTCCCGTCAAAAATTCCTTTGTGAGACATACTCAAAGATTCCCTCCCCTCTCCCCTCCCACTCCCTGCTTCTCCTCTCCCATCCCTCGTCCCCTTCTCCATTCACGCCCCTCTATCCTACGCAGATCATAGACCTACCAATGCTCAACGTGTCCTTCTCCAGCCTCTCCGAATCCTCACTCCCCTCGCCCAACAAAGCCTCCTCCGCACCCTCGCGAGACACCAGCTTCGCACCACCGCACTCCACCGCTCCCTACTCCCGTTCCTTCTCCAACGACCAGCTGAACCCCCCCGGCAGCAGCAGCAGCAGCGCGGAACACGCCAACGTGCGGCCGCCCTTCACCCCGAAGCCCACCACATCCGAGTCTGCTCTACTCCCAGTCTCCGTCTCCTCGCTCTCCGCCCAGCCGTCCTCTCTGGCGACCTCCTCCAGCAGTCTGCAGCTGACGGGATCAGGGGGGGCGCGCGCGCTGAGCAAGTGGGGCGCGGGAGGGGAGAGCGCGGTGGAGAAGGAGCTGCAGCGCAAGGAGATGATGCGGCGGGCGCTGATTGAGGAGAATAATGAGTTGAAGGACAGGTTGGAGGAGAAGGAGAAGCGGGAGAGGCAGGCGCTGCGCCGGGCAGAAGTCATGAAGCAGGACGCGGTGAGTTGCGGTTGGTTGGGGGGAGGGGAAAAGGGGAAGGGGGCGGGGGGAGGGGAAAGGGGGGAGGGGGGAGGAGAAGAGGGAGAGGCAGGCGCTGCGCCGGGCAGAAGTCATGAAGCAGGACGCGGTGAGGAGACGAGAGGGGGGGTGGGGGAAAGGGGGAATGGGAAGGTGTGAGAGGGGATGGGGGGAAGGGGGCAAGCGAGATTGGGAAAGGAAGGGTTTGTTTGTTTGTATTTCTGTTTATATTTCTTAGGGTTCGTCCGCTCCTTCTCCTCCTCTTGCTCGCTATGACTGTACGTGCCATTTTGCCTGATTCACTAGTTTCGCTTCCTCTTCCCGTGCGGACCAACTTCACTTCCCCATCTGTTGAAACCCATCACCCAATCCTATGCCTTCTGCCTTGTTTCCCATGCTTTTCACCTTGCGCCCTGGTTTTAAACTGTGTAATGTGCACGTGGCAGGACACGACGAGGAGTCAGCTGCAGGCGATGCAGCAGCGGTTGGAGGAGGAGGAGGCGCAGCGGAAGACACTGCAGAGAGAGCTGCAGGCTCTCAGAGCCCAGGTGGTGAGCGGCGTACAGCAGCCGCAGCAGGTGCTGCAGCAGCAACAGCAGCAGCAGCAGCAGCAACAGGGGGTTGCGGAGGAGGAGGAGGAGGAGGAGAAGCAGCCACAGGGGGGAGAACATCAGCGACAGCAGCAGCGGCAGTGGGAGACTGAGGAGCAAGCAGGGGAGTCGCAGGGAGAAACAGACCATGAGCATGCGCATGCAGACAAGCACGGTGAGGATGGAGTGCAGGCGAGTGATCAGAGTAGTGAGAGGGCGAGTAGTGAGAGAGAGGAGAGGGCGAAGAGGAAGGAGAAGAAGGAGAAGAAGGAGAAGAAGAGTAAGGAGGAGAAGAAGGAGAAGAAGAAATCCAAGGAGAAGAAAGCAAAAGAGAGCTCAAAAGAAGGAGTGACTGACGGGGAGGAGGAGACGCAGCAGCAGGAGGAGCAGCAGCAGCAGCAGCAGCAGCAGCAAGAGCATGAGCAGCAAGAGTCTGACTTTATGTCGTTTCTGAGGAAGCAGGCTGCTGCTGATGCTGCCGCGAAGAGTGCTTCAGACGCAACCACTACGTATGCTCCTGCTGCTGCTGCTGACCCCGTTGCTGCTCCTGCTTCTGCCACCGCGGCTGTTACCTCCCCCGGACCAGCGAGTGTCAGGACTCCTCGCAAGTTGGCCATTCCATTCAACGGCAACGATGATGATAATGATGACGACATTCGGGGCCACTTTGCTGCTCCTCCCGCTGCTGCTCTTGCCAATACCGCTCCTGCGCCTGCTCCTGTCGCTGCTGCTTCTGCTTCTCTGGGTCCATCAGCCAGCAGGGGCCGTGGGAAGCTGGTCATTCCCTTCGACGATGATGATGATGACGATGTCTAATAAGTACTATGAGCTGGACGGAGGAATAGCAACTGGAGACTCTTCTTGAGGTGCTTCGTAAACCGCCTCTGGGGCTGTCAGCCAGCAGGGGTGGTTGTGGTAAGCTGGTCATTCCCTTTGACGACGACGGCGACGATGATGACGATGTCTAATAAAGAGGATGAGCTGGAAGAAGGACTAGCCTGGAGCCGGCAGCATGGTGGCAAGTGGAGGTGGATGAGGCAGACAAAGAGACGCAAGAGCTTGAGCATGTGTTAATGGCTGCACCGCATCAGTGTGAGGAGCAGGGTGGCTTTTGGAGAAACAGCATGGAGAGGTAAAGGAAGGTGGTGCTAGCTCTGGGCCCTCTTGCAGGCAACGGCAAAGGGATCCTTTTGTTGGGTCCATTTCTGTTGGGAATTGATGAATCCTGTCTTGTCCTTTCATGCATGTTTAGTAAACCAGCTGCTTGGGCGCTACATTAGCTGAACGTTTATGGTTTGACTTTGAAGAGTTTTTGAGTGTATTCCCCAATTATTGCGCTTTACCCTGCGTGGATCGAAACGTCAACTTCAAGGCGGTCCCCAGTTTCGCCGATTCATTGGGGTCATCCAGGCCAGCGGGCGTCACCCTTTCCATTTCAGATTTCCGCGACGTAGACTTCCATTGCATCCCACGGTCAAGCGCACAGATCAGCGAGAATCTCCCTGTTTCTCCTTGATCAGGCGAAATCTGTAGCACTCGTAGTGCCTGTACTCGGATTATAACTAGGTCAATGCAAGGTTTGCAAATTCCGCTGAAGTTGAGAATACGGTTCTTCGAGGGATGTTTCCTCGCTTCGTCCTTCACAATTGTATAGCAAGGCAGCGGGATATGCTTTCATAGGAATGGCAGCACCTGTTGTTCGTATCGACCCGAAGTCTCTGACGTTCCCTTGTAAGAAAACAGTCGCTGACACCTGGTTACCACCATAAGCGGTCATTCCTAAATCACAGTTTTCTTGTGACGTCATTAGCGACGTCTTCTTTCAAATCGTCCATTACAGAGCATAATTCCTGTATTTCACGTCTGGCAGTCGAGGCGAATAACGAGCTTTCGGTGACCGTCCAAATAACCAACGATTACCCTCGCGATATCCTGCTCTTTGTGAGTCACAGGAAAATGCGAACCAAAGGAGGATGATGTGAGGAGCATCATTTGAAGAGGAGGATGTGAGGAGGAGGATGTGAGGAGCATCATTTGAAGAGGAGGATGTGAGGAGGAGGATGTGAGGAGCATCATTTGAAGAGGAGGATGTGAGGAGGAGGATGTGAGGAAGAAGTTGCGAGGAGGATGATGCGAGGAAGAAAAAGTGAGGAGGATGATGTGAGATTTTTCTGCTTCCTGCATATCCTCATTCCTCCTCTGCACAGCTCAGTCCCCACACATCCCTTCATCCTCGCCGGCGATCCGTTCAATGTTCTTTGCAGCTTACAGAGCGAGAAACATCTGAGCGTTTGTCGATTCTCCTGTCTGATTTTTAGCGTTCTGCCTTTTATCCTCGCCGGATCACACCACTCTGTCTCGCTCTCTTGCGCTCTGCACCACTCGCTCTCGCCACTTCTCCAGCCTTCTCCATTGCTGGAGCAGGTGGAGCTTAGATCAGTGCATAGCTACACCGTGGAGGAAGGGCTGAAGCATGTCGTGCAGGCGGGACGGTCGATTGAGTCGACTCAAGAGTCACCTTGTTCCGTGTGCAGGTGGAGCCTGGGTCAGTGCGAAGCTACGCGGTGGTGGAAGGGCTGAAGCACATTGTGCCAACAGGGCGATCCATCACACTCACAGGTGCGCACTGTTTGACACTAACTGGTATGCATGGCATCACACTCCCGAGTGTGCATGGCATCACACTCACAAGTATGCATGGCATCACACGCACTGATCTGCATTGCATCATCTCACTGACACGTACAGCATCACATTCACTAGTATGCATTGCGTCACACTCACTGTTATGCATCGTCTCTCCCCCCTTTTCACACTCTGTAACTTCCTCAACCTTCCTCTCTTCATCTCTCACCCACCTTTCCCTCTCCATCCCTCACCCACTTTCCTCTCCCAGTGCTGTGCTCTCCCCTGCCAGCCATGCCAATCTTCCCGGACCAATTCCGTGTAACCACCTACAGGGCCGGTTACCACTCCTCAGACGCCCTATCGATCTGCAGTGTACGTCTCTCACTCACCCGCACTGTACATCACTCACCCCGATTAAACGACGTATCTGAAGGCTGCCATTTCATGTCGCATCTGAAGGCTGTCATGCCATGGCGCATCTGAAGGCTGTCATGCCATGACGCATCTGAAGGCTGCCATATCATGGCGCATCTGAAGGCTGTCATACCATGACACATCTGAAGGCTGTCATGCCATGGCGCATCTGAAGGCTGTCATGCCATGGCGCATCTGAAGGCTGTCATGCCATGGCGCATCTGAAGGCTGTCATGCCATGGCGCATCTGAAGGCTGTCATATCATTGCGCATCTGAAGGCCGTCATGCCATGACGCATCTGAAGGTTCTCGGGCTGGAGCGCGTCTGAAGGCTCTCAAGCTTCGTAGCTCTTAGAATAAGGCCAGACAGCTGGCTCTCGAGGCACTTGCAACCGTTGTGTAGCTTGTGTTGCTTGTGTCTTTGTCCACTCCAGCCATGTTCTTTAACATCCAAGCCACGGCCATTCCTGTGCTTGAGTCCCCTGATGAGATGCCACCCCTAACGCAATGCATATGCATACTTGTGAGTGTGACCCAACACTTTTCTTCCTTACACCCGCGATTCCTTCTCCACCTTTCCCCCACATTCCTTCCCCTCACCCACAACCCCACCCCATCTCCATCCCCACCCCATTCCCCTTCTCGTTACAGCCGCTGTCCTCCCTTGAGATTGTGAGTGCAACCAATCTGCCTGTGCTGTTCGTCTGCAAGTCTACCAGCACAAGGGGAGTAGCGTTTCCAGAAATGGGAGAGAAGCAGGGGATAGCAGCAGCGCATGCAGGACGGGAAGGGATTGGGGTAAGGTGGGCAGTGGCGAGAGATAAGCTAGGGAGGCTGCAGCAGGAGAGGAAGGGGGAGGGGCAGGAGGAGGAGAAGGTGAGGCAGGAGGAGGGGCAGGTGAAGTTTGGAGAGGTGTATAGGCGAAGAATTTTATCCGAGGGTGATGTTTCGGCTATGGAAATGGTGCGAGCGAGGGAAGTGGATTCTGATCGAAGTGAATGCCAAGGGCGGGTACAAGGGGTTGGACGAAGGAAAGAATTAGGGACGGAAGGAGCGAGGATTGAAGGAGCAGGGAGGGGAGGACTAGGAACGGAGGGAGCAGGGATTGAAGGAGCATGGAGGGAAGGAGCAGGAGGAGCAGCGGCAGAGAGGAGTTCAGCGGCCAACAACCCAACGAGGTGGCTCATTTCACGCGTTATGAGCCGGCATCCGAGCCACGAATATGTATGTACGTCTTACGAAGTCCACGCGACTTGCTGCGGTTTGAAACCTTCCTCTACTCTGCAAGAGGCACGCTTCATGCTGCCTCATTTCGAAGCCAGCCCTCCCCCCCCTCTCTCTCTCCCTTTCTTACCAGTCCTCCTCCCGCTTCCTCCTCTCCCTGATATACGTTACGAATGTCTTGATGTTGGTCAAACTCTAGCTCTCTACCTTCACCCCACGCCTCTCCCTCCCATCCCTCCACCTCCCTTCTCCCTCGCTTTGAGTCCTCTCAAATCCCTCCCTTCCCCCCCCTTCCCCCTCCAAGCAGCTGTGGGAGAGGTTTCTCAAGTCCACTCGTGCGGACTTTACAGGACTGCAGAGGCACGTGGTGGACGTGGGCATGCAGATGGAGCAGCTGCAGCAGGAGAACCAGAGGCTCAAAGAGGCGCTGCAGCAGCAACAGCAGGTATGGGAAACTGGGGAGGGCAGGCTAGAGGTGGGTGATACAGTCAATGCACTACACTTGGAGGCACGTGGTGGACGTGGGCATGCAGATGGAACAGTTGCGGGAGGTGAAGCAGAGGCTCAAAGAGGCGCTGCAGCAGCAACAGCAGGTACGAGGGGCAGAGACTGGCAGGCTAGAGATAGGTGTTCCATTCAATGCACCACAGGCAATGCCAGCCAGATTTTTGAGGCGCCTCAAAGGTTGGCAGGCTAGAGATAGATGTTCCATTCAATGCTCCACAGGCAATGCCAGCCGGGTACATTGGTCAAGTGACATCATCACTTCTGAAATTTCTCACAAGTGGCAGGGTAGAGGTCGGTGTTCCATTCAATGCGCCATACACAGTGCCAGGTACATGGGTTAAGTGACACCGTTTGTGTGTTTGTTTGTTGAAGTCAGTCGCGACGATTTCTAGTTTCAGATGACTGTGCCATGTCGGTTACACGAAAAGGATGACAGAGTTTCACTCAAATACCACCAGAAAACACTGATTTGAGATGCCTTGCACTGAGCCATGTTCCGTTACCTTGAATATCGCCCATCGCCTGTTCACCCCTGATGCCTCCCAGCCTGCACAGGTCTTGCAGGTATGGGGAGGTGCGGGGGAGGAGGAGGAGGCACAGGGGAGGGAGTCGGTGCAGCGAGGGATGGTGGATGAGGGCAACGAGCTGAGGACTTCTCAGGCTGCTGATGCTTCTGATACTTCTGATGCTTCTCGGGCTTCTGAGGCTTCTGAGGCTTCCGAAGCTTGTGTGGCTGTTAAGTCTTTGGAAGCTTCGGGGGCACTGCAAGAAGCTCTGCCAGAGGGGAACAGCGACCCGAACGGTGTTTTGGAAGCTTTAGAGGCTTCGGATGCTTCAGGGGTGCTTCAAAGGTCACTGGCAGAGGAGAACAGGGAGCTGCGGGAGAGGGTGGAGGAGAACAGGGAGCTGCAGGAGAGGGAGGAGGAGAACAGGGAGCTGCGGGAGAGGGTGGAGGAGAACAGGGAGCTGCGGGAGAGGGAGGAGGAGAGGGAAAGGGCTGTGAGGGCCGCCCAGAGCACTGCGGACACACTCGCCAGTGAGCTGGTGAGTGGCCCGTCTGTGGAGCATTGGTGTTGTTCGGCATGCGCTAGGTATTTTTCAAGTTGATAAGGTTTCAAGTTGATCAGGAAATCGTCAGGGCAGGGGGGCTCTCTTGCCAGTGAGCTGGTGAGTGGTTTATCCAAGGAGCATTGGCGAAACTTGGCATGTGCCTCCTCGCCCCTTCTCAGCACATCCTTTTTTTTTCAAACACTTTTTACCTCACTGCTACTCCCCCCTCTCTCTCCCATCCTCTGCAGGCTTTAGCGCAGTCCCAGTTGTCAGCAGCGCAGCAGCAGGTGCTGGAGGAGAGGGAGGGGCGGCAGAGGCTGGCAGGGGAGGTGGAATCCATGCGGGCGCTGCTGCTGCAGCAGATGCAGGCCGTGGCGGAGCAGAAGGAGCTCATTCAACGGCTACTGGAGCGACAGCAGCAGCAGGCTGAGGTTTCAGAGCCAGGAGGGTCAGGGACAGTGGGCTCAGGGGCAGTGGGGTCAGAGCCTGTAGGATCAGCGGCTGTGAAATCAGGGGCAGGGGAATCAGCGGCTGTGGAATCAGGGGCAGGGGAATCAACGGCTGTGGAATCAGGGGCAGAGGAGTCAGGGGCTGTGGAATCAGGGGCAGAGGAGTCAGGGGCTGTGGAATCAGGGGCAGAGGAGTCAGGGGCTGTGGGATCAGGGAAAGGGGCTGGGGAATCAGGGGCAGGGAAATTAGAAGCACGGGAATCAGTGGCAGGGGAATCAGGGAGAGGGGAATCAGGGGCGGGGGAATCAGGGGCGCGGGAATCATGGGCGGGGGAATCAGGAGCGGGGGAACCAGGGGCGGGGGAATCAGGGGCAGGGGAACCAGGGGTGGGGGAATCAGGGGCGGGGGAAACAGGGGCGGGGGAATCAGGGGCAGGGGAGTCAGCGGTTGGGGGGTCACAAATAAGGGGTTCAGAAGCAGTGGGATTAGGGGCAGAGGTTGAGGATTGCGAGAGTAGAAGTAAGGGTGATGGGGATGGGAAGAAGCGGAAGGATAAGAAGGAGAAGAGGGAAAGAAAGGAACGGAAGGAGCGAGAGAGGCAGGAGAGAAAGGAGAGGAAGGAGAGGGAAAAAAGGGAGGAGCGGGAGAAAACGGACAATACAGAGGAGAGAAAGGAGGAGGAGCAGGAGCAGGCGGATTGCCTGGGCAGGGAGGGCGCGGGAGGGGCAGAAGTGGAAGGGGTTCTGAGGAGTGCAGATGGCAGAGACAAATGTGACAGGTGTGCTGAAACAGGTGGTGCGGACTGCTGTGAGGGGGAGCGAGCTAGGGGTGGAGCAGAAGAGTCAGCCTCAGCTGTGGCAAGAACGGGAGAAGAGCACAGAAATCCTCGGAATGGTGAAGTTCTGGGCATTGTGGAAGGCAGGGTAGGCAATGCGCTCTAGAAGGAGATGCGGCAGGTGGGGGATTTTTGGGGGAAGCTGGTGACAGCAATGGAAGGGTCAATGGGCCTGCGGTCGCCAGTGAAGCGGGTGGGTGTGGAGCTGATGTGGGTAGTTTGGGGGAAGCTGCAGCGGGCAAGCGGAGAGCGAGGAGATGGAGTGAAGCAGATGGAATCGAATCCTGGCCAGTATGCATCCACGTTATGCTACCTTCGTGGCAATGTATTGGTTTGGCGCGTAGTGCAAGAGTAACTTTGGTGTTCACATGGTGTTACAACAATATGGCGCCTGTTCAATCCATGGGGAGGGGGGCAGTAACCATCCTGTGTGATCCGCTGGCAAGAATCTGCTGATATGTGGCAGCAGCAGCTGAGGAAGCAACCACAGAGTCAACGACACAGCTGCTCACACCGCTGGCTATTTCTCCCTCCCCTCCAACGCTCCCACAGCTGCCTCTCTTGCTGCATGGTAGGCTGAAAAGACAGCTGCCAGCTCGCCTTCTCGAGCAAAGGACGCACCCTCTGTGAGCAATCCACCTGGAAAGAGGCCGGGTGGGTGAACGGGTGGGACTGGTGCAATGAAGATGGAATGGAAGAAGCAGGCTTGCATCCTCCCAAAACAATGAGATGTCTCATAAGCTCCCTAGTAGCGTAGGTCCTGAGCTGCTGCAGGAAGAATACCCTGGAGGCTAAATAGACAGTGTTTTCACAAGCTTACAGTACCGATTACGATACGCACATGTTTTGAGTCGCTGCAGGGAGTTGTCATAGAGCCAGCACGCTGCATCGGCCTGCTCCACATCCAATGCCTCTGCCTGTGGGCATGAGGGGTGCAGAGAAGCAAGGGGCGCAGTGGGACGGGTGAGGGACAAGCACGCATGCATGCGCGTTGTCATAGAGCCAGCACGCTGCATCGGCCTGCTCCACATCCAATGCCTCTGCCTGTGTGACAGGCATGTGCAGCACAGGGAGCACATGCATGCATGCATGCATGCATGCATGCATGCATGCATGCATGAGACAAGAGGCGTGAGGCAAGCACACATGCATTAGTGTTGCAGACATTGTTAGCAACCTGACAGGTGTGGTGAGGCAAGGTGAGAGGTTGTGCATGTGATGGGTGCATGTGATGGGTGTGGTAAACGTGTGGATGGCAGGAGTAGCAGTATCTTACAGCATCGGACTGTATGTGTCGTTCGATGGGGAGATGCGCAAACAACCTGGCAGGGGTGTGGGTGGGCAGAGCGGAACAACAGGGAACAATAGTATGAGTGCGTTCAATCCGATTCAGGCAAAGACCTGCAAGCCCCACCATCTTCCCAGCCCCCCCCTGCCCTTCCCTGCCCCGCCCTGCCCTTCCCTGCCCCGCCCCGCCCCGCCCTGCCCCGCCCCGCCCTGCCCTGCCCCGCCCCGCCCTGCCCTGCCCGCCTGCAGCTTCCGCAGCAGTGACACTCCTCCCCCCATTCCCTCCCATCACCTTCCAACACACCCACACGCGCACCCACCCCTGCCACTCACTTCTGTTTCATCACTCGCAACTGCTGCTCCACCAGCCTCCTCGCCTGCCCTGCCCTCTGATGCAAGCCCGCCTGCAGCTGCTGCGGCAGCGGCACTGCCCCCACCACAAACGCCGACGTGGGATGAGTGGGAGAGTGATGGGAGGAGGAGGAGGAGGAGGAATGGGGAGGAAAAGAGGGATGGGAAGGGAGTGGGCCGAAGAAGAGAGCTCGCAGGGCAGCAACGGCGTCCCATGCCTTGTGGTGAGGTGCCTCTTGAACAAAGAGGAGCAATAGACGAAGGGAGTCTGCAGGGTAGACGGTGGGGAAGGGGGTAGGAAAGTTGGGAAGGAGGGGAAATGTGTAAGTTTTTCCAGGGCAGTGGCAGCATGCCATGCTTACTGGTGTGGGCTTTCGAATCAAAAGATGAGAACGACGAAGAGACCCTGCAGGAAGGAGGGAGGGGAAGGGGCTGCGGGGATTGAGAGCTAGAGTGGGGAGAGACTTTAGAAGGCGACAATGGCATCGATGCATCATAACAGCATGGTATAGTTTTGAGGCGCCTCAAAACTAGGCTGTGGTGATAGAGTGGGAAGAGACTTTGGAAGGCAACAATGGCATCGATGCATCATAACAGCATCGTGTCATGGCATCAAGGTATCATAGCAACATGGCACCATGGCACAGACACGGTCAAACATCTGGCTAAAACAACGGGCAGTCTCACCAAGGGGCAGGTAGATGAGGGTGGGAGGATAGGGCGCGGTGCGCTGAGTGTGGAAGAGGCAGTAGAGAGTAAACACCGCACCCACTGCTGCCAGCAGCCGCCCCCCCACAAACACACGACTCTCTTCCCCTCCCCCCCTCTCCTCCCCTCTTTCCCCCTCCTCCCCTCTCTCCCTCTCCTCCCCCCTCCCCTCCTCCTCCCCTCTCCCTTCCTCCTCCCTACTTTCCGCTTCTTCCCGTCTTGCCCCCTCCTCCGCTCTGCCCCCCTCCTCCTCCGAACCTCTCTCTCTCGCTCCTTGCCCTTGGGCCAGCGGCACGGTCCCTGCTGCTTCACGCGCTGCACCTCCGCCCGCAGCCCCGCCCACAGCACCACTGGCAGCAGCAACAGCAGCAGAAGCAACAGGAGCTGAACCGGGTGCAGCGGCAGCAGCAGCGGCGTCAAGATTGCAATGAGTGGAGGAGCCATCGCAGCCGGATGGCACAGCCTGCAAGAACCCTGCAGCCACGTCACTCCATCCCTTACTGCGGCCGGTAATGCGTCAGATGGACAGACTCACCCAAGTACGGCAGTCTCCTCAGCTCACCTATTTTTAGGTGACTTTCCTAGACTAAAAAATAGGCTCAGAAGCTTACTCAAGACCCTTCTGACAGCTCATGAGAGAGAGAGAGAGTCCTTCGTCTCACCCAAAGCGGTTCCGTAGAGCAGCTGCAGGAAGCGGCGCGGGTCGATGTCTTTAGGGCACGCGTCGTGGACGAAGGAGAAGCGGCGCGCCCGCCATACGGATTTAAACGCCGCCAGCGACGGATCGGTGCGCTGCGAAAAAGGTGGAAAGAGGTGCAGGATGCTGGTCAGATCTCTCGTCACATAGTCGAACAATCTTATGAAAAAGCCGCCGAAAACCTTCTTACATTCACATAGTCGCACAACAGCTCGTCGACATCGCGCACATACCCGGGCACCGCCACTTCCTCCTCCTCCTCCTCCATCGCCGTACTACGGGCAGTGGCTGCTGCACCGATGCTAGCGGCCGTGGCTATGGTGGCTGCGTGAAACGCGGGAAAAGGGGAATAAGAGAATAAAATACGGTTACTGCTTTGCAAAATACTCCGTTTTACACTTCACGCCGTACCAGGTGTACAGCATAAAGAGAATGGTGCAATTCACGTATAAATTTTACCCCACTTGGTTCGTGCAAATAGCGGAAGCGCATTGGAAATTGGGGCGCTCGAGGGGGGGGGAAGGGAGTTGTGAGGAAGCGGGGAGGCTGGTTCGCTTGGGGGTTGCGCGCGCCAGGGTCCGCAGGAACCAAGCGGAGGAAGAAAAGGGCGCGCAAAGGACCCCATGCGCGCACGAACATTCGGCAATCCAGAAGCAGCAGCGGGGCGAATCAGCGAGCATCTTTGCTTAGGTTCTGTCACGTGACAAGCGGCTCCCAGATGGCCGTTGCTCCCCCATCCGATCCAGCGGGCAGCACGGCTCCTGACCCGAAACCCTCGTCATTGGTTGTCATCGGGAAAAGGTGAGCCGTGGCGTGATATTTCTGCGTCAGACAACATCGTTGTGGATAGGACCTCCGCTTTTCATGTGGTCCAGATTTCTTTTTGCGTTTGTTGTGGGGGCGAACGCTGATGTGGCGTGGGTGGTGAAAACATCGCTCCACCGCCATCGTTTGAGGTCAGGAGGAGTTGTGAGGCTGGAATTACGTTAGGACCCCTATCAGTGTGTTATCCCAGGCACCTATTTTTCCTGTGAATAACTGACCATGACGATTGTTTAGCCGAACACTCCCACTTCCAACTCGAAGTCTTTCCTCGCACACTAAAGGGCCTCGTATTACGATTAACATTTAATCACTCCTCTTAAAATCAGTGCTAAAAAAGCCAGAAATATGTACTTGTGAGATTGAAAACAAAATAATCTTACACCACATGCACAAACTTTGATGGCGCCATCCAAGTCACCGCATTGCCAGCAAAGCACATCTCTCAAACTCCATGCAAGAGAAAGTTGCCTTCAGCGTGGATGATGCACCCTTCGTCATACCCTTTCCACCAGATGTTACCGAAAAGTATTTCTAGCAGCTCGGTTCGAGGGATATGCTCTGGCTGAGTACGTGTCCATTCAGATCGATGTCAATTCAAAAGACGTTTAAATAAATCATGGAGTATTTTCTGTACCTTTTGCAGGATAGCATAGAGGACAACTAACCTTGAACTGCACAACATTCAGCCTCGAAACAGCGATCCGAAGCCACGGATTGTTTTCCGCGATATTTACTCCCTCCCCAAAAAAGCGTCAAACTTTCTGAACTGCCTTATGTAGGAAAAAGGTCCCAGGCCGAAGATATTTCCGGTCAGAATGCCCGCCTAGAATCCGGCTTTCTCCTGTTTTGTGATGATCTGAGCCTTTGCTTGCTAGCAGCAGCGTCGCTGGCAGGTCGGGAGGAGACTCTTTGAGAGGGAGTCGCGGGACTCGCTCTGGGACTCTGGGCTCAGACAGAGCAGCAGGGGATAGCGTGGCTGCTGCTGGTGTGTTTGCGTGGCCTGGCCTGGCGTGACCACTGGGCATGGGAAGGGTTTCTCATGGCTGCTGCTCAGTTGCGGTGTTGTTTTGCTCCAACTGAATGGCTCCAGCCAGCCTTGAGATAGATGCGTCGTGCAAGAGAAAGATACGCAGAGTTGGGAGGATTACAACAAGCCACTGTCACAGAATAGAAGCTCAATCCGCAAAACGAAACCCCGGCTCAAGCATTTCACTCCGCAATGAAAGGCCAGAAGCTAACATACTACCCATGTACGCTGATCCGGTCGATACGTAAGCATCTACCTTTATAGCTCTTCAGTGGTGTTTTCTGCTGGCCTTTGAAGATTGTGCGATAGTGAGATTTTAGTACGCAATTTCGGCCGGTCAACAGTTCTGCATCGCTAATTTTTGCGTGCTGACCATTTCCGCGTCCACAGGGAGTCCTTGAGTTACCAAGGTGCCGCTAGACACAAATAGTCATGTTAGATTCTTCTAGTCGGCCATTGCTGCTGCAGCAACAACAACAGCAGCAGCAGCAGCAGCAACAGCAGCAACAGCAGCCGTCGCAGCAGCAGCGTCCATGTGACGTGGCGACGTTTCAGCGGAGCAGCGTGCACATATTGCTGTCGGATAAGGACAGCGATTCGCGAAGCAGCGTGTTGGAGCTGCTCCGGAGCTGCTCATACCAAGGCAAGCGATCGGCTCGACATAGTCGTAGTCCATTGTGGCTAGGAGGGTCTTCGGCATCATGAATGAAGCCAATCAGTCCGCCATTGCACTTTCCGCGCGACAATTTTTTATGTGTCCAACAAGTTACTTCGTCTCCGCACCTTCCTTTTCGAGCCGTGTCTTTCTTAGTCGTAAATTACTTTCCACTTCGCTCGATGCCTTTTTTCGACGCTTCTTCCTTCCCTCCTCACTCCCCATACTGCCGACATTCCTGCAGTGACGGCTGTGGAGAACGCTCGATCAGCACTGCAGCTGCTTCGGTCAGGCACGGCGGCGATCGACTTAATTCTCGCGGAGGTGGAGCTGCCAAACGGCAAGGGCATGAAGATGCTCAAGCTCATCGCGCGGGAAGAGCGCCTTCGAAAGATTCCGATAGTCAGTAAGTGCAGTGCTGCCGCATCGCTAGCTTTAGTTATCTTTCAAACTTGCGGAATTGTACGCGTCGGTCCTTCGGCTGTCTTTGTCGACGCGTTCTTCAAATTTTACCTGCTGCACGTATCGTCTTTTGTCTCCGCGCGTGTTTTCTCGTAAAAACGCAGTCCCCGTCCTCACGCTGTGCCGTATAGTGCCAATATCCGCGCTAAAATCACGATTCTTTTTTGTCCCTGCGCGCTTCATCAGTGATGTCGGCGCGCGACGAGATGGCCATTGTCGTGCGCTGCCTGCGGCTCGGCGCGGCGGATTTCCTCGTGAAGCCGCTGCGGACCAACGAGCTGCTCAACCTCTGGACGCACATGTGGCGCCGCCGCCGATCCGTGAGTGCTGCGATGCGTTTGAGTTGAGTCGACCCAGCGTGTGCCGTGTGCCATCGTCATGGGATGAGTTTTGGTTCGACTCATTTGTTGCTTGAAGCTCCTTATCCTCTAGACGCACACATGGCTACTTTCGCGTTTCATTCCGTGTCGCTGGTACTGCATTCTTTATTCTGCGTTTGGTTCTGCGTTTCGTTTCGTGCAGCTAAACCAGTGTCGTATGTTTATCGCAATACCGTTCTCTTGTTCAATTCAACGTGTTCCCCTTCCTTGTGATGCTTGCATGATATGGATGGCGCTCATGGCTCTGTTCTCGTCAAGCAGGCGTCTTGCAAGGTGCGCGCCAACGTTGCCGCCTGTGCTTCACACATGCTGTTGAAACACCCCGTTAACACCTCAATTGTGTTTCTCACTCGACGCACTCTCACTCCATACGCCCGCGCCCAAATTCTCGCCATTTACCACTCATCTCTCCCTATCGCTATTTCCCATGGACATCACATGCGCATTCATACGCGCAATAGCACTCCTCGCTAAAACCTCTTATGTGCGCTCGTTCTCCTGCAGTTCGGTCTGACGGAGCGGCCGCAGAACCTGGTGCCTGTAAGCATGAACGACCTGCCACACGACTTCGTGTTCATCGATACCAGCGAGTCCAACACCGGCACTGGCAGCACGGACCTGTTCTCCGATGAGACGGACGAGATTCGCCGCAGCAGCACGCAGCAGCTGCAGCAACAGCAGCTGCAGCAGCAGCAGGAGCAGCAGGAGCAGCAGCAACAGCTGCAGGAGCTGGAGCAGCAGCAGCAGTTGTTGCAACAGCAGCAGCAGCAGCAGCAGCAGTGGCGGCAGGTGCAACAGGAGGAGGATGTGGAGCAGTGGAGGCAGGAGCAGGAGCAGGTGCTGCGGCAGGAGCATCGGCAGCAGGAGCTATTGTTGCGGAAGCAGCAGGGAAAACAGAAGCAGCCGCAGCACCAACAACAGCACGACCAGCAGCAGCAGCAGAAGAAAGAACCTGAGCGACAACAGCAACAGCAGCTGCAGCAGCAGGAACAACAGGTGCAGCAGCAGCAAGAGCGGGAACGGGTGCGCAAGGAGGAGTTTAAACCGGTTGCTAAAGGGAAGGCAGCGACAGCGGCAGCGGCAGCAGCATCAGGCTATGGAGAGAGGCAAGGTCCAGTCGACAAAGAGCCAGGCGTACAGGGTAATGGCCGCAGAGACGCACAGGCGACGCAGGAGGGTCGTATTGCGCTCAGAGAACAAGTGGCGCGCGCACAGACGGGACCAGAAGAGGGGAGAAAAGGAGGTGCTGGGGGAGGTGGAGGAAGGACGAAGGCGAAGGGCGGGAAAGAGAAGGGTGAGGAGGTGCGGAGAGAGGGGAGGATTGGAGGCGAAGGGGAGAGAGTTGGGGAAGGGAATAAGGCGGTGAGAGAAGCATGCGAGGCGGTTGCCTCAAGGCGCTTGCAGGTGGATGATGCGGTTGGGAGCGGTGGAGTGAAGCAGGCAGGCGACAGTGGGCGAGAGGAGGATGAGAATGCGAAGGGGGTGTCACACGAGGCGCAGCAGGTGGGGAAAGACGAAGAGAACGGGAGGCGGATGGGAGGAGGACATGCAATGGGTAACGAGAACGATTGCGCTGCTGCTGCGGGAGCTGCTAGTGGCGATTGCGAAATGGAGGGAAGAAAGGACGAACAGAATGAGGGGATACAAGCCTGTGAAGCGGATGCAAGGGGTCGCCAGGTGAGTTCTAGACTGTCTTTTTGAGGCTCGTATAGTCCGCATTGCTGCCCTTTTTTGCCCTCTGCTAGCTATAACCAATGTCCTGCTGCGGTATCTCATTTCCCTCCACTCATTTGCAAAACAACTTCTCTTTTTTCCTCTTTTCACCATCTGCGGTTTGACAATCAATCTCCTGTGTTGTTCCTCTCCTGCCTCCCCTCGTGTCGTCCCTGCAGCCGTCACCGCACCTCGAGCTCTCTCTCATGCCGCCTCTCACTCGCCGACTGCTCCCTCCGCCCTTCCTCCCTCCTCCTCCTCCTCCCACACCTCCTGCAATCAACACCTCAGCAGCACTCGCCGTCTCCACTCCTTTCACCGCATCCCTGCTTGCCTGCTCTCCCTTCACCGGCGCTCCACTGCTCGCTTCTGCAGCCCCAGTCAATGCCTCGCTAGGCCCATCCGCACCTTCTCTCAACGCCTCGTTGCTCGCTTGCTCCATAAATCTCAGCACGCTCACTCCTACCACAGCGCTATCAGGTAAACCGCTCCCTGCATTGAATACGTACAATTGCTCCAAGCACCGCTTATATATCCTCATTTCGCCTCTTGCATCGAACAAACATTTTTTTCCTGCTGATCCTTGGGTCTACTTTGTCCCTGCTTCTTATTTATTTAGGTGTGTCTGCGGCTATTCGGGAACTGCCAGCAGCACGCCTTGCTCTCTCTGCCTCCGCCACCGTCCACACATCCGCTGGTCATGCTGCCCTGTCCGAGCTGACAACAGCTCCACTGCCAGCAGCAGCAGCAGCACCAGCACCAGCAACAGCAATAGGGGCTGAAGCCGCCGCCGCAGCAGCAGCAGCAGCAGCAGCAGCAGTAGACGGTTGCATAGCAGCAGGAGGCGTGAGGTCACTTCTGCCAGCACTGGTAACGGCCAGCGCTCTTGCACTCTCTGCAACACCAACCACTGCAGCAACAACTGCTGCTGCACCTACCGCTGCAGCACCAGGGGGTGCTTCTCCCACAGGCCCTGCGCTGAGTGCGTCTCTCGTGCGCCCACAGCCCATGCATCTCACCCCACATGACAAGGGCTCCACTCAAGACATGCCCTTGCCGCATCTCACCGCGCCGCCCCTGCCCTGTACTCCCAATGGCCCTGCGCTGCCTTGGCTTCTTGGCTCGATTCCAGGACCCAGTGGTTCTAAAACACCGATGCTTCCGCCCGCGTTTCTTGCCCCACTGCCTGCCACTGTTGCTGGTGCTGGTGCTGCTGCTGCCGGTGCTGCTGCTGCCGGTGCTGCTGCTGCATCTCCTGCTACTGGTGCGTGCGTTGTTGCCCCTGCCACTGGCTCTGCTGCTGGCACTTTGGCGGGTAGCGCCGCTAGTGCTGGTGCACACGCTCTTGCTCGAGCTGACCCCAGAGTTGGTGGTGCCGTGGCGACCAAGGTGTGTGGTGATTCTGCTGTGGGTTCTGCCACTGGTGGTGCTGGCCCTGGTGCTGGTGCTGCTGGTTCTGCTGGCTATGCTGGTGGCTCAAATGCTGCTGATGCTGATGCTGATGCTGTTGCTGATGCTGTTGCTGCTTCTGAGGCTGCAACGGCTGCTGGCACACGTGCGGCTCTCTTCAAGCAAGGGTTCTTCAGCGCCCTCCTCGCCGCACCAGATGCTCCTCTGCAGAGCGCTGCGAACTGCAGGAACGATGATTGTGGTGCTGGGCGAGGCGGTGGAGGAAGTGGAGGAGAAGAGAGGGCAGATGGGGCAGTCGAGGATGCAGAGGCGGAAGGAGAGGGGGAGACAGACAGGGAAGGCGAGGAGGGCCCAGGAGCAGCAGTAGCACCCACAGTAGCAGCAGCAGGTGCAGGTGCAGCAGCACGAGCAGCAGACCCCCTGCACTTGCTGCACTCACCGCCCGGGGGGGACGCGAGAGGCGCAGCAGGTAGAGAATCCACCAAAGCACCCACCACCGGGCGAGGCAAGGACAGCGGCTCCCCTGCAGGGGCTTCCGGGGGAGGTGGCGTGGCGGGCAGCGGGGGGAGCAGAACTGGAGGCGGAAGGGGGGCGAGTCTAGGGGGAATGGGGCGGGGCGAGGTGACTCAGCAGCTGCAGGCGCTGCAGGCACAGGACATGTGCGGCAATGGGTGTGGCAGCAGCAGCCGTACAGACTACACTGCGTATAACCACCCTGTACCAGCGCGCGCCGGCACCCTTGCCAGCGCTGGCAGCAGCATGACCGGCGGACAGCTGGCGTCGTCCAATTGGTGGAGCAGCACTGGCACCGGCACGGGCATGAGCACGGGGCCTGCTTGGGACAGCAGCTCGGTTTTTGCAGGCTCTAATCCCACCACCACCACACCTGGCGTTGATGGCTTCACTGCTGCTGCGGCTGCAGCTGCTGCTGCTATGGCAGCTGCCGCTGCAGCCCCGTCCTCCTCCCACCCGTTCGCAGGGCTGCTTCCGAACCAGCCTGGCGCCCCTCTTCCATTCCCGTCCCACTCCTTCTCCCACCCTCTGCAATTTCTTAACTTCCACCCTCCGCACACTCTCAACCAGGACTTGCAATTACCCCCTGACTCCCTCAACCCCCCAATAAACTCGTCTTCAGACCGCCCATCCTCCTCACTCATTCCCTTCCCATGCACGCTCCCTCCATTTGCCGGTCACATGCAGACTCAGCAGCAGATGCTGCCTCAAAGCCAGCAGCAGAACCTGCCACCGCCGTTTCAGCACCTGCCACCACACATAGCAGCTGCTGCTGCTGCAGCGGCAGCAGCAGCAGCGGCCTCAGGGCTCCCTCCCCAGCATCCCCTCGCTCAGTCCCTTGCTGCCGCTGCTGCTGCTGCTGCCGCCGCCGCTGCCGGGAAACCAACTGACACAGACCCCTCACTTCAACCACCCGCAGCATCACTCCCACCCGTTTTTTGCCGCTGCGGCTGCAGCAGCAGCTGCATTCCCCCACCTCTCTCCAGAAGCGGCAGCAGCAGCTGCGGCTGCAGCAGCTACTGCCAACCTGCACATGTCAACTGGCATGTCGACCCTTCCTCTTCCTACTCCCCCGTCCACCCATTCCATGTTCTCGCATGACCTGCAAGGGACCAGCAGTGCAGGACCCCTACCCCAAACCTCCACAGCAGCAGTAGCTTCGGTCCAAGCCATGCCCATCCTTCCTCACAACCCCTTCTCCTTATTCTCCGCAATGTCCCCTTCCCAGCCGTCGCTTGCTGGGCCTGGGGTCCTTCACCCTGCCACACAGCCAGGGCACCTTGCTGACATGGCAACGGGTGTATCCTTGCTGGGAGCGGGTGCGGGAGGGGATGGTGGAGCGGCGGGTTACCACTGGCCGGGGCAGGGGGGAGGATTGCATTTCTCTGCGGCATCAATGGCTGTGGCAGCAGCGGCTGCTGCTGCAACAGCTGCATCAGGAGGTGGTGTGGGAGGGTGTGGAGTAGGAGAACCGGGTGGGGGAAGTGTTGGTCCAGGGGGAGGGGTGGTGCAGATGGAGAGGAGGGTTGAGATGTATGATAGGAGGGAGGCCGCGCTGAGCAAGTTCAGGCAAAAGCGCAAGGATAGGTGCTTTGAAAAGAAAATTAGGTATGTGAGCCGCAAGCGGCTAGCTGAAATGAGGCCGAGAGTTAAAGGGCAGTTTGTGAGGCAAACTGGTGGTGGGGCAGGTACTTCAGGGATGGGGAGGGATGAGGAAATGGATGAAGACGAGGAGGAAGAGGATGATGGAGACGGTGGTTACTAGCAAAAGCTGAGGTGAACCAAGTGTGTTTTGTCTGACAATGTGGGTGGAATGACATGGTTATCAGCACAACCCAATTTGTTTTGTTTTTTGCCTGCAGTAACATGGTTATATGTGAAGTCCGTGTTTTATTATGTGCTGCGTTTCTAAATTCCGGCTTTGTCTGTCTGTCCATTTGTGATTGTTGGCTGATTGGCCCACGCGTTCACCGTGTATACCTCGCGAGCCAGCTTTCTTTGATGAAATGAGTGGGTGCGGTTTCGCTTGGGCCTTCGCATCTGCCTCAAGTTCGCGGTCTCTTTCGCGACCACGTCATCGCTTCGCTGGTCCCATGTGCCTCCGTGGTCGCACGTGCCTACGCTGCCGTTTCGCACCGTGCGAAGATGCTACCTTCCTCCTCCAATTGGTTGAGCCTCTTACCATCCTCGTTTGCGTGCCACTCGGTATACAGACCTCGGGCCTACCTGCGTGCTGATTGGTCTAGGTCATAGAACTATGGAGACCACCCTCTCTGGGAGTCTCTTTTCGGCAATTTCAAGGTGGAGATTTCACTGCTTGTCCGCCTCCCACCCATTCATATTCCAGTCAATCCCTTCCCCTCCTTTCTGTTTTTAGGTGGTTCTGCCTCCATTCCCTCCCTGAATGTCCTCGCCTGAATCAATGTTCGATTCCGTCTTCATTCCGTGTCTGCTTTGGGAGTATCGCATTCCTCCATTCCCAAGGGTCTGACATTCGCAAGGCCTCGGCACGAGAGGATTTGCTTCCTCTCCGAATCTTCTGTGGCGGAATCTGGCGCGCAGAGCTACCTCAATCCTGATGACAAGCGTGTCCGAAGCAGTCGCAACTTTCCACCACGACACGAGCACGAAACACCAGCAGGAGAATTTTGAGTGAACTCGCAGAGGGCTGGATAGCTGGGACTTGCTCAAGCGTCCTGTCGGTATTAGTCGAGTCACTTTACTAGTTGTTATTGGTTCAGGCCACAATCACTGGGACGTAATCGCCTCGCTGGAGACCAGCGCTGCTCTCGCTTCTTGCCATGGCTCTCTCACTTACGGATGTTCCCTTCGCCTCTCGCGCGACAGGAGCCGCCATTCCGGATTCAGTAACACTCGGCCACGCGTCTCGCGTCGACATTCGCCTCGATGCCGCGTCGCTCTGTCTCACCCCGGCCGCGAGACGCCTTCGCTGCTCCCGGCTCTCCGCCGGTCAGGCCGCGCTTCGTTGTAAGCCTCTCCGTCAGGGGAGCGGAAGCGGTGTTCGCGCGGAGACCGCTTCTGTCAATTCCGCCACTGCTGCTCACTCCGTCGATAGTTCCCTATCAACGTCCGAGATTCAGTTTCCGTTACCGCCTACCGTGTCACCATCCGCAGCTGAAAGCGGGAGCAAACAAAGTGCGAGGAAGAACAGGCGCAAGGGTAGAAAAACAATCGTTGACGAGGGTCTTCGGATTGAGCATGGCAGCAGCAGCGAACCGTCGGATGCGGCGTTCATCGCGGCTCTCACGTCCCTAGCAGCTACTCCAGAGGACGCGCGGGAGGAACACGAGCAGGGGAATAATGCGCATACCAGCAGCTCCGATGCGAATCTAGCCGCTCTTCTCGGAAATGATTCAGCGTGGAAAACCGGGCTCACTGGGGACCATCTGTCCCCCGAATCTGGTTCGTTGTCGCGGCTCGTCGCCCCTTCAAGTGACTCTGGTTCGGCAGGTGGAACCAACGTGGCTGGCACGGGGAAGGCGCCGCAGAACGCGGGTGATCCGTACGGGAAGAGAGTGCTCGGGCGAGCCGTGGTGCAGTGGATGGCGCGCGGGATTGCGCGGCTGGCGCAGGACGTGGCGGAGCGGGAGGCGCGCGGAGAGGAAGGGTTGGAGGGGGTGGCTGCTGGCGGAAGCATGGCACTGCTGGCGCTGGCGCAGGATTACCTGCAGAGGTGAGCGATGCCATATGGTTTCATTAAATAGCAGAGGTTCATTGTGTTTCATAATACTTGCCCCTGATAGCTACTGTTGGCGCACTCACGAGGGACGGACATGATGTTTTGTTTGTCTCTTCAATCATTCACCACCCTTCTCCCTCTCGTCGGTCTTCTTCCCCAACAGGGAGCCAATGCCAGATGGCGAGCAGCAGCGGTGCCACGTGGCAATGAATCATTACCCCACGGTGTTGGACCATCTTCAGCGGGAGCTTCAGGCGGAGCTCAAGAGACGACGTGCACAGCAGGCCGCTACGGAGGAGCAGCAGGGCAAGGCTGCTGTGAAAGCATGGAACGAGAGTGCTTCGTGGGACCTTCTGAAGCAGCTCATGCGATCTGGCGAACACAGGGCTACTATCCGCCAGCCAATCAGCACTCTCGCTGGTTCAGCTACTGCCTCCCAGACGCGCCAGACAAACGTTGCCGCCCTCCTCTCCCCGTCCGCACTGCAAGCCGCCCAGCAGCGAATCAACGCCTACGTGGCAACGGCCACGGACCTCCTACAATTGGAGCGAGACGCTGAGCTGGACGCAGTCGCCGCTGAGATCAGCAGCACCCAGCCAACAACCCCCTCCGATCGCCCTGAGCCTGAAACGCTGAGCGAGAGTGCAAGAGAGAGGAGGAGGCGGAAAGAGCGAGGAGAGGTGGAGAGAGGGCTAGCGAGAGAGGGAGGCACCCTGACGGACTTGGTTGCTGTGGGCACGTCTACTGGGCTGGCCGGCGTGCATCTCATCACCCTCGCTTCCCCCAGTGCGGGTCTCCTGTCCGCCTCCACTCTCTCCCCCGGTGACGCCATCTGCCTCTCTCCTGATTGGTCCAAGTGCAGCCGCATTGGCAGTGGTAGCAAGGCTGATGCGCGAGTTGGTGCAGGAGCCGCGGCTGCTGCAGCTGCAGGGGCTGCTGCTGTGTGCTACAGAGGGTATGTGCACGAGTTGGGGGAGGATGGGCAGAGCCTCGTGGTTGCACTGGACGGGAAGCTTGGCTTGGGCAGCAGCAGCAGCATACGCAGTGGAGGGAGCACTAGTGGGTCGGAGAGTGACGGGGAGGGCGGCAGCGGCAGCAGCAGTGGGCGAGGGGCATCGTCGCCGCTGTATCTTCAGGAGCTGTTTGGCGTGGCGCTGAGAGTGCAGCGCGTGTCAGGCCTCGTGGACTTCACAACATTCGAGGTGAGCCTCTCTTTTAGGAGCTTTAAGAGGTGAGTCTCTTAGACTGCCTCGTGTGCGCTGTTGTCACGCTCAAGACTGCCAGCTTCATCTGCTCCTTGCCTCGACCTCACTGAGCACGTACTCCCCCACTCATGTCTTCCACCTCCTCCTCTCAAACGCCCCTTGCCCCGCCCATCCCTCCCGCCCGCCCTATTGCTCCCTGGCAGCGCAATCGCGAGGCACTGGAGCGACTCAAAACGTCCGCGCTCAAGCCCAAGAGCCCTGCTCGCGCCGTGGCTGCTGCCCTCTTCGCTCCCCCCCGTGCTGCTGCCGCGGTAGCAACTACACCACCAGCATCAGCTGGAGCGCCTGAAATTTCAGCAGACAGCACGCCACTATCACCATCACCCGCCCCCCTGTCCACCTCCCCCTCCTCCCCCCCGTCCTCCTCACCGGCCTCCTCCCCATCCGCCTCTTCCTCCCGTCTTCCGCCCTCCGCCCTCTCCTTCGACGCAAGTCAGCTGGCGGCCATTCGTCTCGCTCTGGACCCTGCCCGCCCCGTGGTGGCCATTCAGGGCCCCCCCGGCACGGGCAAGACGTCTGTGGTCACAGAGATCATCAGCAGGGCAGTCAGAGAGGGGCGCAGCAGAGAGAGCACAGAAGAAGCGGAGAAGGAACAGAAGGACGTGCAGGGGAGCGACGAGGAGGAGGTGCTGGAAGGCGGTGGGGGAGTGGATATTGTAAAGGAAGCACGGGAGGGTATGAGGGCGAGGAAGCAGCAGCAAACAAGGAAGCACCGGGTGCTGGTATCCGCACCGACCAACGCAGCAGTCGATGTGCTCGTAGAGCGACTAGCCTCCCAGGGCCTGAGGGTTGCTCGGGTTGGCAACCCCATGCGCCTGTCCCCCGCCGTCACGCCCTATTCCCTCGACCACCTCGTGGCCGCCCGCCTGCGCTCCTTCCACCGCGACGTCGCCCGGCGCCGCCGCGACCTGCGCTCCGACCTCCGCGCCGTCGGCTCCGACCCCTCGCTGCGCTCCGCGATCCAGAAGATGCTGCGGCGCCTGGCGCGCGTGGAGAAGCAGCGCGAGAAGGAGGAAATCGCTCAAGTTCTGGCTGAAGCCGAAGTGATTCTGTGCACCACCACGGGGGCCGGGGAGAGGGTGGTGCAGGAGATGGCGCGGCAGGAGGGCGGGTTTGACCTGGTGGTGCTGGATGAGGCAGGGCAGGCCACTGAACCGTCTAGCTGGATACCTTTACTTCTTGGGCGACGGGCGGTGGTAGCAGGGGATCCGTGGCAGCTGGCGCCTACAGTGCAGTCTGTGGACGCACAGCAGCGGGGGCTGGGGGTTTCACTCATGGAGAGGATTCAGGAGGAGGGGTTGCTGGGGAGTGGAGGGGGAGACGGGGCGGTGGAGAGTGGTGGGGAAAGGTGGGGAGGTAGTGTTGCAATGCTGCGAGTGCAGTACCGCATGAACCGCGCCATCTCGGATTGGAGCTCTGAGGAGATGTACCATGGGCAGCTCATGGCCTCCCCTGCTGTCGCCTCCCGCACCCTGGCTGACATCACACTGCCTCCTCCTCCTCCTGCCTCCCACTTCTCCTCTTCATCATCCTGTTCCCTCCCTCCTCTCCTGGCGCATCCCATGCTGCTGATCGACACACGCTCCCCCCGCGGTCTGCTGCATGCGCACTGTGAGGAGGCTCCTGATGCAGCGGGCACGGGGTCGCTGGTCAACGAGGGTGAGGCTGACCTCGTTGTGGATCACGTCGCTCGTCTGCTTGCGGCCGGCGTGCCGCCCGGGTCCATCGCGGTGCAGTCGCCGTACCTCGCCCAGGTGCAGCTCATCCGCCAGCGCCTCGAGGAGCGCCTGGGCGGCGTTGTTTGGCCGTATGCTGCATTGGAGGAGGCTGGGGAGGGAGAGGAAGGGGGAGGAGGAGAGTGGGACGTGGGGGCGGTGGAGTTGGCGAGTGTGGATAGCTTTCAGGGGAGGGAGGCGGATGCTGTCATCATCTCCATGGTGAGTTGTCCTCCTCTGCACGCCAGCATTCTTCTGCGGTGAGAAAGTGGTGGGGTCATGCTGATGCCAGACATGTGGTGTGTTGGGGTCTTTTGGTCAAGTGCAATGCAATGGGTGTTTAAGTGCCACTGGAAAATGGACCGTGCATTATCTCACCCCTCTTTCTCTCTCTCTCCTCTTCCCTCTCCTCTTTTTGCAGGTTCGGTCCAATCCATATGGGTCAGTTGGGTTCCTTGGGGACCGTCGGAGGATGAATGTAGCTGTGACACGTGGCAGACGCCATGTGGCAGTCGTTGCTGACTCAGCAACAGTGGGTCACAATTCTTTCCTCCGCCGCCTACTCCTCCACATCCGCTCGGTTGGAAGGGTTGTCGGTGCCCACGAGCTGGATCTTGTTAATTCAGCGTCTGCCACACCAGCTGTGCCTGCCACATCAGCGCCATCGTCCTCGTCAGCAGGGGTTGTCTATGTCCCACGTACATTTCCCCCACCATCTTTAGCAGCATCGTTCGAACCAGTGTACACATCTGGACGTGCTATGAGCCACTCCCTCTCAGCCGTGGCGGTTGCAGCATCGCCTACTGGAACGACAGATGGGTACAGCGGGGCTATGTCTGTCCCTCCATCCAAACCTGCAGCAACGAGCAACCCCAGCTCCATAGCTAAATCGCGAGCTGGGGCCTTGGGCCCTAGGGTGGTAGCTCGTCTTAGGAAGGGATGACTTGAATGTGAATAATAATGAATGGGCTGTTTGTATATTGCTGCTGCTGTTGTATTTCTTCGTTCAAATTCAATGTACGAGTTCATGTTTGATACCCGTCTTCTCTTCTGTGCGGAGATTCACTATTCCTGCTATCGAAGTTCTAATACCGGAAAATCTCATCCTACCAATCAGCATTCTCTGGGCCACGCTTCCCCACACTCTGCGCTGTCGGTACGCACGAGCTCAGCAAATTCGGCCCTGCGCTGCGGCGTCGTCACTTCTCGCCTCGGATTGGTGGTGAGAGTGCTTTGGGATTGCACCCCCGCCAGGGCAGGGCAGCAGCAGCATCAGCCTCCCCGAAAGCCGCTGCATTCACATTTCCCTTATTCATGGTAGCTGTGCTTGTACAACCAAAACTAGTTGGTAGAACAGTTGTCAGATGGCCGTGGCGATCGTATGCCTGGCTGCTCGTGACATGTCCACGCGGTAACAACCGCTCTCATTCTGTTACCTTCACGTCATCCTGTTTTCTCACACGCATTACTTCTCGCACTTCTCGTGTCCGCTTCACTTTTCATAACGAATTTCTCGCGTTTTCGTTATAGAATTTGACACTGGTTCAGTTGAATAGATAACCTTCTCATTTACAGTAGCTGAACTTTCTATCGAGTGTAATCTGTAACCCTGTAACATTGGAATACCGACGCAACGACACAATGCAGACGAGGCTCGATCTCCCGACGCTGCATTGTCGCAGCAGCAGCAGCATCGACGAGCCCCCACAACGCCCGTGGGTCGAGGTTCTGGCGGGAAGGAAGATTCGCCGCGTTATGGACGACCCCGTTAAGCTCGAAGCGTTCCTGTCCGGCGAGTTCGACCAGCTTGACGTGCACGCACGTGGCAGGCTCTCATTGGCTGAGTTCAAGCCGGCGCTGCTGCGCTTGGCGGAAATCCAGGGGCTCATTCTCCGCCCCTTCTGGGACAGCCGCATGGGGGGACGCGGAGGGGGAAGCAGCGGACGGGGCGCAGGCGGAGGGGAGAGGCGGAGAGGCGGAAGCCGAGGGGGAAGCGGAGGAAGCGGAAGCTGGGGTAGCAGCGGCGATTGCGGTGGAGGAAGAGGCGGGGCGGGAGGTGGAGGGGGGGAGGTGTTACCTGGCAAGGGGAAGAACGATGATGATTTGGTCAAGGGGCTTTTTGTCTCTTTCATGTCTGCTGACCTCAGCAGCGAGATTGGGCGGCACAAGTTTGTCAGTGTCTGCAGAGATGTGATTCTTGCATCCCAAGATTCTGTTGAAGGTACTCGCGTTCTTCCTCTCCCCTTTTCCCACCTTCGCTCTCTCCACCTCCATCCGCCCTCCTTTTTTTCCGATCACAACTCACGGATCTGTTGAGTGAAGTCACGAGGGACCAAATCTATTAAGCGGCGCGGGCGACGTGGACGCGGTTTTTGAGGCGCCTCAAAAGTCGGCGCGGGCGACGTGGACGCGGTCATACACGCGCTGTAAACTCATTTCACCGCAACCCCTCTACCCCTCTGTCCCCACTCTCTCCCCGTCTACAAACAGAGGACCCGCTGCCGCGGCTACTGGAGGGCAGCACCCCGCTGAGAGAGCTGTTTGCCGATGCGGACGAAGTAGATGAGTTCATTGACGAGCTGTGGACGCGCATGGATCTGGACGGCGATGGCACCGTGACCATGCACGAGATTCGCCCCATGCTGCCCGCCCTCGGGCTCTTCCCCCAGCCGCTTCCCATCTCCACCGGTGGGTTGCCCGTGTGCGGATGTGTGTGTGTGCGTGGAGGGAGAGGGGAAAGGTTGGTGGGAGAACGGAAATTTTGTGTGTGTATGTGCGGTGGCGTGGTAGGAGGCGAGGTGGATCGGGGAAGAAGCACGAGGTTGTGGGGGCAGATCTGCTGCACACATATGCGGGATGGGGAGGGGTGCTGTCTCCCCCGCCTCATCCCGCCCATGTCCTCTGTTCCTGTCTCCCCTCACCCTTCATCCCACTCCCGTCTCCCCGCGCCAGAGCAGGAGGATGAGATCTTGACAGAGTTGCTGCAGACATATGCTGGATGGGGAGGGGCAGAGGGGGAGGGCGGGGCGGAGGGGGAGAATTCGGGAGAGGAAGGCGGAGTGCAGGAGGGGGAGAGAGAGTCGGCAGGGGAGTGGTCAGAAGCGCCGGACTGGAACGGCAGTGGGAGCAGCACAGGTGATGGGACGGGGCAGGGCAGCAGCAGGGGCGACATCACCAGCAGCGGAGGCTTAGAGGGCAGCAGCAGCAGCGGTGGTGGTGGTGGAGGGGGAGGAGGAGCAGTGGATTTCAGCCAGGGGCTGTCGAAGGTGCAGTTCATGTGGCTGGTGGCGGATATTCTCTACACCGTCGCCCAGGGGCTGGAGGACGACCCACTCTACCTGCCCGCCAACATGACCATCCTCAACCGCCCCTTCCTGCTCAAGGTGCGCCCCTTCCTGCTCAAGGTGCGCCCCTTCCTGCTCAAGGTGCGCCCCTTCCTGCTCAAGGTGCGCCCTGCATGCATGTCTGTGTGGCCTCTACCGGCTAAGGGTGCGCCCGGGGACATGCATGGCTGCTTGCTGTATGGGATGAGAGCGGGCGTGTGTGCTGCGAATGGGCACTGGGCATGTGTGTTTCCATCCTTTCCTTTCCCGCCAACCTACTCACACATTCCCTCCACTCAGCCGATCCTGTCAGAGGAACCCTTCATCCACCATCTGGCCATCTCACCCACCCCTCCCCCTCCCCCTCACCCCCACCCTCACCCTTCCCCTCCCCCTCTCCCGCCTACTGATCAGATTCTCTCAGACGAGGCCTTCTTCCACCGCCTCACAGACCGCATGTTCCTCACCTGGGACGAAACCGACTGCCTTCTGTCTCACCCAAACCCATTCTGCTTCCTTCTTCTCTCCTTCCCACTCCACGCCGCCAGATTCTCTCAGACGAGGCCTTTTTCCACCGCCTCACAGACCGCATGTTCCTCACATGGGACTCCACCGATCGCGGCATGCTCTCGCGCGCCGAGGTCGTGGCCGGCTTCTACTCCCTGGGTGTCGCCTACGGGCTCCCCGCAGTCACCTCCCGTGAGGAGGCCGACAGCATCTACCTCTCGCTCTTCCTCACGGCCGACTGCGACACGAGTGGGTTTGTGGACCGGGAGGAGTTTCGCTCCCTCATGCACTCCATCTTTCTAGGCGCTGCGCTGCAGCTGCAGGCCACGCGGTTACCGCCGCAGCCGCTGCCGTCGCCGCTGGCGCCAGTGGAGGGTGGTCCTGCAGGGACCTCCTCCTTGCTCTCTTCCTTGTCTTTCTTTCGCCCGTTCTCCTTGTCCCTCCGCTCCATCCCGTTCTCCGCTGCCCTTCCCTGGGGTAACTGTGCTGGTAGCAGCACCACGGCTTTTCACAGCAGCAGCGGCAGCAGCGGTGGCAGAGGGACGGGTGTTGACCCTGATGCTGCTGCTGCTACAGTGGCTGATTTGCCGACTCTGACTGGCTTCAAGCTCTTTGACGGGCGGCGCGTGCGCAAGATGGTGCGGGCGGACGGCGGGGCTTGTCTGGACGTGTGGCTGAATAGTGCCTTCGAGGAACTCGTTAGAAGCACATCGGATAGGGGAGACGGAGCAGGAGGGGAATGGAAGCACATAAGAGTGTCGGGTTCGAGGAGTGGAGAGGCGGAGGGAATTGATATGGAGGGTCTCGCACTGTACAGTCCTGGTGGGGAAGGTGGGAGAGGGGAAGCGGGGAGGGAGGAAGGGTTGTGTGAGGGGCATCGCAATGGGGGTGGCAAGAAGGTGACATGGGGCGATGCATTCGGAAATGGTTTGGAAGCTTTTGCAGATAAGGACGAGGTCGACCGCCCGACAGACAGGCCCGTGGTGACGTGGGCGGCGTTGGAGCGGAAGCTAGTGCAGCAGCTGCACACGCTGGGGATGCCTGGGGAGGGCGTATCTGAGGACTGGGAGCGGATAGTGCGTGATATGGTTGCGAGGGAGAGACGGGGGAGTGGTGGGGTGAAGGGAGGAAGAGATGGGGAGGCGGAAGGAGAGGAGAAGGGCGGGGATGAGGGGGAGGGGGAAGAGGAGGAGGAGAGGGGGAGGGAGAAGGCATGGCTGGATAGGGGGGAGTTTGTTGCGGTGATGACAAGACTGTTGAAGCAAGTCGGACAGACTCTGCAAGGTGAGCGAGGGGGAGAGGGGTGAGAGGTGAAATGGCCTGTGGGTAGAGTGGGTGTAGGCGAATGAAGGAGGATTGGTACTTCCAGGGTAGCCGTTTCAGCACACACGGGTGTGCATCAGCCGCGGTGGCTTGTCCTTTTGTCTCAAACCCCGACCACACTCATAACCCCGATCCTAACCCAATCCCACTCCTTTCTTCCACCCTTGCTTTTCACACCCGTCATGCCTGCCACCCCACGCTCTTTTGTGCTACCCCGCACCAGACGCCACTCTGCTGCTGTGCTCACCGGACGGCTAAGGCTGTCGCTGCAGCACGCTTTCAGCACGTTTCCAGACGCCTAAGAAGTCCTTTTAAAACAATTTATGTTACCCCGCACCTTTTCATGCCATTCCGCAACCCTTCATTACACAACAGACACCCCTCTGCTCCTGCGCTCCCTGGATGGCACACTCATAAGGGCGTTCCTGCAGCATGTTTCCAGGCTCCTAAAACTTCCTCGCCCCTTCATGCCACTCCACACCCATTTGTACGCTCCCACACCAGACACCCCTCTGCTCCTGCGCTCACTGGATGGCACGCTCATAAGGGCGTTCCTGCAGCACCCTGCTCGCCTCACTGCCGCCATCCACAGCACCTTCCAGGCACTAGACAACAAGAGCTGGGGCGGCATGCCTGCCGCCCGCCTCGTGCCTGCGATGCGTGTGATTGGCCTGTCTGCAGGGCTGCCGTGCCGAGGAGGTGAGTGGAGTGTAGATAAATGCAGTGTGCAAAAACCTGCTGTGTCTTAAACATGCTGTGTCTTAAACCTGCTGTGTCTTCCTTTAGGCACCCTCAATCCTCTGACTACTTACTTTCATACAAGCCCTTGTTGCTCTTGTTGCATATGACTTCCCAACATCTCCCACAACCCCTTTGATATTCACTGAGTGGTCCTGGTACCGTATTGAGCTTGATGTTCACCCCCCCCGCTTGGCAGTGAACACTACACTTGACGTTTGGATGCTGCAAATCACAACAGAGCTCGCACCCAATATTGATCATTTATCGGAGGAACAATTTTCCTCCTTCGTCGTGGAATTTCTTGAAGCCCTTTCTGCCCGGCTAGCAGCCGACCCTATTTATGTGCTTCATGACCTAGACGCGCCACAACGAGCTGTGGGTTTGCCGGAGCCACCTGCTCCATCTCCCCGTATAGCGTAAAGTACTTCATACCGTATGCACCGGTATGGTGCATGATATATAAATGCACTTTTATCTCTTGTTCGTATTATATAGAGTCAATGTACGAAGTGAATACACTTTTACTCTCGGACCTTGCCTACGCTTTACGTCAGGCGCCATCCCAAACCGAGGTTGCGATAGGTCGGTGGAATACTGATGGTCTGACAGGCTCACTGCACTGGCCTGGTATGGAAAGTGCAGAACCGCTCTAGACCGCTTGGTTGGGTGCGTGGCGCTCAGTTCCATCAAGACATACAAGATTGCAGCTCATTATCACCGTTGAGGCTGGTAAGTAGCGGTTCAAAGCGGTAACATCTCATCTCAATAGAACGGAACTGGGAACTCCTGCGACCGCTGGAAATTATTGTTCCTGGTTCCGACCAGTGGAAATTATTCTTCTTGTGCTGCGAGTCGCCGTATCTGAAGCGTCACGTGAACGGCATGCTTACGTGACCCTTTGAGTCCTGAACGGTAGCAGAGTATATAAACTGGACGAGCGTAGCAGTGGTTGCAATGTCCAGTACCTCCGTAACCACCTCTTCAAGAGGTTCGATTCTCACGCCTCTCCCTCCGCATCTCGTGTATTAATTCAAAAGCTGAATTTGACAAGTAGTTTCTCACCGCGCGTTTCGCGCTTCCACGTTCGTTCTTGAAAAATGTCGATCGCGATCAGACTGCACTCTTCAGTACACGTTCTCCTCGTCCTGGTAGCATCAGCTGTACTCCTTATAAGCAGCGGCGTCGATGCGCTGCAAGGATGTGGAGGGAGCTGCAAGCGGCACAGCGACTGCAGCGGGCGACTGGCGTGCATGAGCGGCAAGTGCGGCGACGACCCCGCCGTGGGAACTCACATATGCAAGTCACAAGGCGGGAGAACGTGCAAGCCATCGGTAAGCTTCCGAGCTCCTGCGTTCGTCCCCTGTAACTCGGATAACATGTGAGACGCTATGCTTCTTGGTGTTACAACGCACATTTGTGAATGTTAAATGTCTATTTTGTGCAGTGATTTTTCCGTCCTCTTTGTACATCTTTTTAAATCCTTATATTCAAGCCTGTGTGTGACAAGTGCAGGTCCGACTGCTGCAAGCCACTGGCCTTATACCACAAGTACACGTGCTCACCACCTGTCAGCAATGCCACGTCAGCAATCCTCACTCTCAACGGATTTGGAGCTGGTAATCAATTATCATCACTGTACTCTGTCAGTCCGTGAATCATGAGTTGTGGATCCACAAAGGGACGGAGTGGGGAGGAGACCCAGTGCACAAAGCGCCCTGCTCCTGTGATTCTCACAAGTTTCTGGTCCCTTCCCGTCCCTAAGTCCTCTCATGCATCCCCAGGATCAATCTCTCCCTGTTTCCGTCCATGGTCTCAATCCCCTCCACCCTCCCTTCTGGTATCACGTTCCCCCCTCCCTGTCTCTGATTTCGTTAGGCCAAGACGGAGGAGGCGCATCATCCTGTGACGGACGATTCCACAGCAACACCGAGAGGGTAGTTGCCCTTTCCACCGGCTGGTTTGCCAATCGGAAGCGCTGCGGCCGTCAGATCCGGATCTCTGCATCCAACGGCCGCAGCGTGCTCGCTACGGTGGTGGACGAGTGTGATTCACGTGCGGGGTGCGACAAGACGCATGCAGGGCAGCCTCCCTGCATCATCAACGATGTTGATGCTTCGGCTGACGTCTGGCAAGCACTTGGGATTGGCCAATCAGATAGTAGATATGGATACATGAAGGTCACATGGCAGGATGTGTAACTGCACTGTGTGCTTGGGCTGTCAGTTGCAATAGAAAATGGGCTGGATATATGGTGCCCTGGGTGAGAACCAGAAAATAGCACAGGCCGGCAACATCACCGGTTTAGTGGCACTGCAACACAAACTGGAGATCAGCGACTAACATACTGTCGAGATGCCTACAATGGGAACGCGAGCTTGAAACAGATACACCCATTTGGGAAACTCAGGTGTTCCCCTCCACACACCCTCGTGCAGTCTCCTGCTGTTTCTTCTGTTACAAAATGGATGACAGATGCAGTGACACCGCATTTCCTCAGTTAAGCAGATGGCTGTTGCAGGACAGGGTGTGTATGCATGTGGCTCTCTAGCTTCTATGGGCCGGCACCAGCAGCTCTGTGCTCACTGCCCAGTCAAACGCACACCCACAGCATCAACTGGCTTGCTTCTCAACCCAGAACAACGTTCTTTGTTTCTTCCAACCAGCAGCATCACCACTTCACACTCTGAACCTCAGCCGCAGCTGCAGCACCAGGAGTCTCAGCAGCACCATCTCCCCCAGTCACCACCTCCTCAGATCCAACCCCTCCCTTCGCCTCCCCTCCCCCAGCTTCCCCTCCCGCTGTCGCCCCTTTCCCCCCTCCTCCCTCCTCCGCAGCAGCAGCTTCAGCACGGGACTTCTGCCACTTGACCACGTTTCCGATCTTCTGAGCCACAGACTGCATGCTGGGGCGCGCGTCCCATTCCTTGATGAGAGCGTACTTGGCGATGTAGGCGATGGCGAGGGCGTCCTTGCGGCGGCACTCGGGGGCGATGGCGGGGTCCACCAGGAGGGCGAGGTCGGGGTGGTCGTGGTGCAGCAGCGTGGGGATCAGGTCCTCGTGAATGCTGTCCTGGAGAACGGATTTGCCTGTCAGGAGTTCTACCAGGAAGACTCCGAATGCGTACACGTCGCTCTTGGCATGCACGTGGCCTGACAAGGAGGAGAAGTGGGGAACAAGCAGTGAGGCAAGTGGAAAGGATAGATGAGGTAGTGCACGGAGTCCATGACGCGTGCATGGTGTGCATGGGTGCATGGTGTGCATGGGTGCATGGGGTGCATGGGGTGCATGGGGTGCATGGGGTGCATGGGGTGCATGGGGTGCATGGGGTGCATGGGGTGCATGGGTGCACGGATGCATGGGGTGCATGGGATGGGTGCAAGTGCATTTCTTATCTCATCTACACTGCCTCAGGACTCACACACAACACTTGAGACGCTAAAATGTACCTGAGAGGTAGTACATGGGGTCCATGTAGCCAAAGGACCCCACAACTCTCGTTGTGACATGCGAGCGCCAGTCCGCTATGCCCTTGGCCAGCCCAAAGTCCGCCACCTTGGCCGTGAAGTCCTGGCAGGGGGAAGGAGGAAGGATGTCAGACAAGGTTGCCATCAGCGAGAAGAATTTTGTCGCCTACGTGGGCATTATGTCTTGTGCGAGAAGCACACCCACCTGAGCGAGCAGCACACCCACCTGAGCGAGGCACACCCACCTGGGTGAGGAGCACCCACCTGGGTGAGGAGCACCCACCTGGGTGAGGAGCACCCACCTGGGTGAGGAGCACCCACCTGGGTGAGGAGCACCCACCTGGGTGAGGAGCACGTTGCTGGCCTTGAGGTCGCGGTGGATGTAGCGCAGTGAGTGCATGAACGCCACTGCCTGCGCCACCTCGTGCGCCACCTTCAGCCTCGCTGCCCAGGGAAACGTTGCCTCGCCCTTCTTGCCTGCCAGTGCCACCCACACGCACCCACGCACCCCAGAGCAGCACAACACACACACACACACATAATGAGAAAAAAATTCTGTCACCCACGAGCGTGCAGGGAGTGGAAACTGGCGAACAGAAGAGACCAATTTTAGGAATCAACTAAGAAACATACATGGGAGAGTGGGTGGGAGGGCGAGTGAGGGGCCTCACAGCGGGCGAGCAGGGCGTGCACATCCCCCTTGGGCATGAACTCGTAGACGAGCGCCTTGCTGGGGTGTGGCGAGTACGCCAGCAGCTCCACTATGTTGCTGTGCCTCACCGCCCCAAACGTCACCAGCTCCGTCTGCGGAGGGAGGAGGCGGGAGGGAGGAGGGAGAGAGGTGAGGAGGGAGGAGGGAGGAGGAAGGGAGGTGAGGAGGGATGATGGTAGATGGATGGCGGGAGATGGATAGAGATAGAGGGATGAAGCTAGATGGATGGAGATTGATAGATGGAGGTAGAAAGTGGGGGGAATGGGAGGGAGGGAGGGTGGGAAAGAGGGCAACACGGTAGCTGGCAATGCAGGAGGAGTAACGAAGAGAGCAAGCGCGAGGCGAAGCGGTTTGAACGTGGACAATCAAGTGCACATAAAGCAGCGAGCAGAGGAAGCCAGCGTACCATAAACTCGTAATCGCCCTGAAAGCTGTGCGGCGCGAGAACCTTCACTGCAACAGGAATCGGCTTGCACCCACCAGCATCCCTCTCGACCATCCCAGCGGCACCAGGCTTCGACCCGCCTCCTCCCTCGCCCTCAGCACCCCCACTCCCACCCGCATCCCTCTCACCCGCGCCTCCTCCTCCCTCGCGGGGCTTCTTTGGGCATCTGCAGGGGCCGTTTGGGCTAGCCCCACACGGCCGCATCTCGCCTTTATACACCTTCCCGAAGCCACCCTCGCCCAGCACAGTGGAAAAATTCCGAGTCACGCATTTGATCTCGTCCTCTGTCAGCCGTGGGATGGTGAGATCCGCAGGCGGCTCCAATGAACGGGTAGATGCGCCGCGTCCCCCGCTGCCGGTGGACGATCCGGGGCCTCCGGAGCCGAGCAGGCTGCCGGAGCTTCCCGAGGTTCCTGACACTCCCGAGACTCCGGATACTCCCGATGTTCCGGATACTGCCGAGACTCCTGATACTCCCGAAGCTCCTGATACTCCCGGAGGTCCCGGCACTCCCGAGGCTCCTGATACTCCTGGAACTCCCGAGGCTTCTGATGTGTTAGAGGCTCCAGGTACTCCCGGGGCTCCTGACACTCCCGAAGCTCCTGACGCTCCCGAAGCTTCTGATACTTCCGAGGCTCCTGGTGCTCCAGAGGCTCCTGATACTACCGAGGTTCCTGATGCTCCGGCTGTTCCCGAAGCTCCTGTCGACGCTACTGCCTCTCCTGATGCTCCTCGTGCGTCCGATGCGAGTCCCGTTGGTGGCTCAGCTCTAGATTGTTCGGCTTTGGGTGGTTCCGTGGACGGAGAAGTCTGCTGTGGTGCGACCAATGCTGAGCTCGCAGCTTCTTTTTCTGAGAACAGGAGGTGAGGAAGATTGTATCAAAACAATATTGTAACCCGATTAAAAAAGGAGACAGATTGACAATTAAACGTGGGATATCAATTTAAACGACGCCAACGGAATGAATGCGAATCGAATAAGGTATGCAGGTGTACCATTCAGACAATGTGGTAAGACGCTGACATATAGCTGATATTAGAAGGAACAGACAGGAGAACAGAAAGAAAACAAGAAGCTCCTCCGTAAGATATGTTACTTACGCTGGGATAGTTTGCTCTTGGGGAGACCTGACTCATGTGAAGCATCTCGCGACGACACGCAACCCATGGATACAATGAAAATGCGAAAGCAGGGACAATAAGCTTCTAAACCAGGAATAGTCTCTTATGACGGGATTCTGTAGACTGAACAAGAAACGCACACGCATGTCCAACGCAATAACACCGAATTCTTTCAGTCGTTTGATAGTTATTATGCGACGGGTAACAACATCCTCGGCTAGGAGCTAGGACTGAAGCTCAGGAATGCGCCTACCCCAGCCAACGCTCAACTGCCTTTCTGACGACACGAGTGTGACTGGGGAAGTGATGGTCATCCAGCTGCTCACTCATTTGTGAGGAGCACTCACACGTGGTCTGCCGAGTTCACCACCTAGGCCTCACAACGACAACTCCGTACCACCACAGAACCTGGGTGCCCAATCAGACCTCTGTTCAAGGATTCCGATGTCCACTCCGAGGGGTCTTCCGCACCTACAGCTAATGCTCGTTAGAGCCCCTCCCGGTTGCCTTGTGAAGGGGGACTGTAAGCTAAAACGTCATTTCGTCTGTTCGTCGAGGGTTTCGTCAGGCTTTGCGCGTGCATTTAACGCGCACATGGTTACCACTCACTTTGTCCGTTATGTAATAGTGTCGGGTGGCACCTATTGTCACATGTGCGCGTTACCGAAATCCTTACGAAAGCAGAACAAACGCGTAAAGCAACATCAACATTTGTTCAACTTAGATTGAAACAGCTGACACACAAAGCCGGGCCAATCACAATCTACCACATGGCCATTCACCCCCGAGCTCCACAACATCCCCTCTACTGCAAATGTGCCCGTTATGTGCACAATCCCAACACTTATCAAATCCTCAAAAACTCCCCGATCCCAACCTTCAACTCCTGCTCGTGAGTCCAACATTCCAACTCACACCTGCATCCATTCTGCCGCCTCCACGTACCCGCCCATCGCGGCGCCAACCCCGCCGTCCAGAAGCTGCTGACGGCGGGACGGCTGGGTCATCCAGCCAGGCAGCACTCGGCCCCGCGGACGCGGGGTGTCAGGCGGCGGAGTTGCGAAAGGCGAAAGCCTGGGCGGCGGAGCCGTGTTGAGATTGAGCGCGGGGCTTGCCCGCTCCATGCGCTCATGAATGATTGGATTACGAATGTCGAAGAGGTGGCAAAGGTCGCGCGGCGTCACGCTCACGGCGCGAGCGTAGCCGATGAGCATCTCGTTGGCCGCCCGTGCTGTGCGCCGCGCTTCACGGCCCACGGGGTTGGAGTCGTCATAGACCGCCTGCATCGTGGTCGGCGCCCTCCATAGCTCCGCCACCAGGCCCATGTCCGCATCATCACGAGTCGGCTCCGCACCCGGCTCCGCGCACGTCGGCTCGCCCTCGTCAATGGCGACGTACTCGGCGGCGGTCATCGCGCCGGTGCCGAGGCCGAGACCGCCAATGAGCTCGACGACGTCGTCGATGTCGTCGTCGAGCTCAATGTCGGGGTAAGCGTGAGGGGTCGGCTCATCATCATGCACGTGAGTGAGGTCCATGGGCCACGACAGAGGCAGGCACCCCGTGCGCCACCAGCACCTCTGGATGGTGCGCGCACCGACACTCATCCAGGCGTCGGAGAGCCACCCCAGCACGTCGCGCAGATTGGGGCGATAGCGGGCGACGGCGCTTGTGGCGCCGTCGTCGTTCCACAGTGCCGTGAAGGCCCGCAGCCAGTGCTGGCGGTAGCGGGCCTTCGCGGCCGCGATTATGCCCTGGTCGAGGGGCTGCGTGAACGCGGTAGTGTTCGGCGGCAGGAAGATGAGGCGCACATTGCTGAGGCAGGTGGTCCTCATGCCGCAGACGATTTCGCTCCACGCGCACTCGTCCCGCAGCATATGGGAGCTCGCGTTGTCGAGCAGCACCGCGATGTGCCGCCCTTCGGCATACATCGCGGCATTGAGTTGCGACATAAAATGCGTGAACAACTGTTGGAGGGGATTGGGGGGGAGGGGGGGGAATATACATTAAGATAACACAATGTTATAAGAACACAACCATAAACAAAATCACCCGGTCGGCAAAGACTTACCTGGCTCGTCATCCAGCCCTTAGCGTTATGCCGCCAGTAGCAGACGGCTTCGGGGTCGTAGTCCGGGCGGAAATCGTGAGGACGGCGCGCCTTGCTGATGACGAGCGGCCGGAAAACATGGCTCCCGTCGGCGTTAACGAGAAACGCCACGGTCAGCCGGTCCTTTGAGACCTTGCGACCGGGCATGCGCGCGTTGCTGTATATTTTCCGAGGCAGCACGGAGAGCCACAGGGCGGTCTCGTCAAGATTGAAGGTGTCGCGCGGCTTGTAGCCGAGGTGAGTAAGAAGTTGCGGCACCTTCTCACGCGCTTCACGCACAGCAGCCATGTCGGCGCTCGCCGCCTCGCCGGTGGCGGCACGGCATCGCACTCCCTGGCGCCGCAACGCACGGCGCACCCAGCCAATGGAGCAACGGAACACGGGCGGAATGCCCATGTTGCGCGCCATGGTCGCCACGTGGTCGCGGATCGTCTGCAGAGTGAGTGGTACGCCCGCGAGGCCAGTGTTGGCGATCCAGCGCGCCATGGCCTGCTCAAGCTCAGGCCATGCGCCACCTCGACGGCGCACTTGATTAGCGGCTGTGGGTTCGGTGAGCGCCCAACGGTCGGCATTCTCAAAGATGTGGCCGACCGTCGAGCGGTCAGGTCGCACTGGGCGTAAACCCAGCGGGCGAGATCTACGTGACGCAGGAGGGGGTGCTCGACGTGATGCGCGCATAATGCGCGCTTGATGTGCAGCGGAAGCTGCTCACGGCGATTAAACCGCGGCATGGTGGGAGGCGGTGACGGGAAAAGAGCGATGCTTTGGTGACTCTGTGCATCGAATTTTAACTTTGGTTGGAGGACGAGGCTGATCGGTGCGGGGGCCTGTTTGGTGTGGAGGGTTTGTTTCGTGTGGTGGCTGTTCGTTGCATGCACCCTGCTTACAATTTCGAACATGTGGTTGGGTTACCACCTCGGTGAAAATCTGAGGTGGGGTAGGCGAACAACGCCTGGTTGTTAATGGGCTTGTACCCCACAAGTGCGAAATACACGTGGCAGCGTGCACCAGCCCAGATGTCTGTTACACGCACCATGATCCTCGCCTAGGTGGCGGGGCAGGTGTGCGAATGCATTTACGAAACCACGTTCATTTCGTCCACTCGTTTCGTCAGGTTGACTCCTGGCCTAGAAACAAGGGAGACATGGGTCGGCACTGCTTGTAGTGGTCTACACGTGGGGGGGTGGCCGGGCCGCGTGCACTGTAGTTAGCCATCCAGGTGCCTGTACATGGGGTGCATCAAGCAGGGGTTTCGACCTCGGGGGCAGCGTGTCCATCCGGTGCATGGCAAATTCGCGTGCACTGGTCGGGCATCATGTGTATTTCCCACTGCTTGGGTCACCACAACTGGTCTTCCGAGCCTCCAGTTCCGGTATTACAGAGGTTTGATCCAGACACCGATATTTGCACCTTCCTCGTTCTGCGATGTTGGACTGTGCGTGGTGAGGAGGTGCCTTGCATATTCCTGGTTCGATAAAGAGCTGCCAGACTAATGGAACAGAACGAGACATAAAGATGGTGAACGAGATGAGATTTCAAAAGCGCATATATGCTACAGCAAAGAAAATCACTGTTATTGCATTGCGGAACATGAGGGGTTGGAGAATTGTTGTTACACTCATGCATCATGAAAAAACTTGGATACTCTCAATATTCACGACATGGGTATTGTTAAAATTACTATTTGTAGAGCAGATGGGAGTTGAAATCCACAGTCCAGACTGATAATCACGGTTAACTTTGTATTTTCGGCGTCTTTGTTTAACTATTCCCGTTAACGAGCGTAATCTCCCGTATATAGGACCCGGGGGTCTTATCAAATATGTTGTAAAAATCATTTAGGTGAACAATACCAAACGGCATTTTTATTAAGACCCATGAACATCATAAAATTTCCAAAAGCAGGGTTAAATCTAACTCATTACAAAACCCCCCCAAATTCACAAATACGATTCAGTTTCGAAATGCCGCGTATTGGCATCTTGACTGTGTGTTGGCCCAGATTCGGCCGCACGTATGCAAATTTGGGCGTGACGGCGTGAATTCCAAGCGCCGCTGGCACGGCGATGCCATCCTCTACCTGCCAGCACCTGACTGCGGCCCGTTGTGGCATGAATCTGGACAGGAGAGAAGATTCCTCCGTCCAGAACGGGCGATGCCTGCCCTGTTGGCTAGGCCACCTGATAGAATCGTGAGCGACTAGGGCACCAGGTCGCTCACGTCCCTGATACCCCCGCTTCCAGAGGGGGGTAGTCTCAGAGAGTGGGGCTCATTGTGGCGTTTTGGCATAGCGTTCATTCTTGGAGCTCCCTCCCTTGTCTTAAGAGATGTTCGTTTCTTGCCGTGCTCAGCTAGAGCCTGCTTACGCAGGCAACTTTCAACATGTCTGCCCTCGAGATGTTGCAGGGGATGAGGGATAGGAGCGCTGCGAGGGCGATTGCTTCGTTAGCGAACGCGCCACCAGCCCCACCGGCACCTCCTACTCCTCCGAGTCCTCCTACGCCACCTACGCCACCTACGCCGCCTTCCCCGCCAGCTCCACCGTCACCTCCTGCTCCACCTGCACCTGCTGTACCTGTGCCTCCTTTCCCTTACCCGTTCGAACCGGTGTATGAAGACGACGTGTTTCCTACGCCACCCGCTTCTGTCGACGAGTCTCTCGCCGCTGACACCAACGCCGACGACGACGAGGACTCTAACGAGTCTATTCCCGCCTTTCCTGTGCCTGAGTTCCCCCCCTGACGTCCTTCACGATGAAGAACCGTCAGTAATCCCCCGTGATTCTATGAACCCCGACGCCCGCAACAGGGTTACGCAGCATCGTCGGACATCGCGGACAATGGCCGAGAAGGCAGAGTGGCTCAGGCGCATGCGCGAGGAGCACCTGACAGTGCGCGCGACGGCACGGATGGCCGGCGTTGAACCCATCAGCGTGCGCC